GTCACAGCTCATCCCCACCTGGTATGCGAGGCCACGGTTGAGGATCTGCAGGAAAATCCACTGAGTCCAGCGGTAGTAGTCGGGGTCTGTGGTCGAAACCTCGCGCTGCCAGTCGTAGGAGAACCCCAGCGCTTTCAGCTGGTGTGGGGTGGAAGGGGAGGGAGAGGGGGACGGGGAGGGGGAGGGGGAGGGGGAAGTGGAGGGGAAATGGGGAGTTAGTGAAAGTAGAGAGGTGGGTGAAGGGAGGAGCGAAGGGGAGTGGTGGGTGGGTGGGTGGGTGGGTGGGTGGGTGGGAACGATAGCACAATGCGCTCCTGAGGTGGCATGCACACACGCATGAACTTCGACAAGAGTCAGCCCTGCCATGCTTGACAAGCACACACGCTCCTGCGCCCATCCCCACTCTCACCTGCGATCTGAACCGTCCAATGTTGCGCTCTGTTGTCACTCGTGGATGTGTGCCAGTCTGATGGCCCGAGGAGGAGGGAGGGAGTAGTGAGGGAGGGATGGGAGGGAGGGGAGGGAGGGCGTAATGAGAGAGCGAGAAAACGTTGGGGGAGAACGGAGAGAACGTGAGGGAAATGGGACGAAGAAAATTACATGACAATGTGGAAAAGGCGCTTTACATGATTGCCTCTTCCCACAGCCTCTCCACACGAGAACGGGACGGCAATCATGTGAGTACGTGGAAAAGGCTCTTTACGTTGGCTATATTGAAATCACTCGACAGTCCCCCCCACTTTTGAGATTTCTTCACGTCCCTCCCCCCCCCACCCCCTCTCCCCGCTCACCTCGATCGCATACTGCTCCGCGGGCAGCCCAAAGGCGTCCCACCCCATGGGGTGCAGCACGTTAAAGCCCCGCATGCGCTTGTATCGCGCCACTATGTCCGTTGCTGTGTACCCCTCCGGGTGCCCCACGTGCAGCCCTGCGCCGCTGTGAAGGGCGGAGGGGGAAAAGTGAAGTGCGGGGAGAAGGGGTAGGTAAGTGTGTGTGAGGGCAGGGGGTTAGGGGGGGAGCGGAGGGAATGGGCGATGGGGTATCGCGCCACTATGTCCGTTGCTGTGTAGCCCTCTGGGTGCCCCACGTGTAGCCCTGTGCCACTGGAAAGGGTGGAGCGGAAAGGTAAGTGCGGGGAAGAGGGGTGAGCGAGGGAGCGTGGCGTGGAAGGTGGAGAGAGCCTATGAGTCTATGTGTCTATGTGTCTATGTGTCTATGAGCGCAGCACTTGGGGTACTATCATCCCACCTGGGTTAGGGGAACAGGTCGCACCTGGGGTAGGGGAACAGGTCCCACCTTGGGTAGGTCCCACCTGGGGTAGGTCGCACCTGGGGTAGGGCGCACCTGGGGTAGGGCGCACCTGGGGTAGGTCGCACCTGGGGTAGGGCGCACCTGAGGTAGGGCGCACCTGGGGTAGGGCGCACCTGGGGTAGGGGACCATGTCGGCCGCACCTGGGGTAGGGGAACATGCCGCACCTGGGGTAGGGGAACATGTCGAGGACGTAGTATTTGGGTTTGCTCGTGTCCACGTCATCCGGCGTGCGGAACGTCGCCTTCTCCTCCCAGTCCGCCTGCCACTTCGCCTCGATCTCCGTGAACGGATACGCGGTCGACTGCCGGCTACCCGTCTGCGCTGACGGCGCGCCGGCGGTTGTCGGAGCTGCTGCGGGAGCGACTGCTGTATCCACTGCCGTGCTGCTGCTGCTGCCGCCGCCGTCGCTTGCGGCGGCGGAGCAAAGAATGCGGGTGTTCCTGCTCGTGCGGCACGGCGCGGGCTGGCTTGCCACGTGGGCGAATGTGGACCGTAGAGATGACAATCGGACGGTCGAAATCGATGAAGAGGACGATTTCGGCCAGAAAGGCGACGACAACGACATACATCCATACGGTTGCCTGAAACGGCTCGCGACTCGAGCGCATTTCGCTACGCCGTCAGCGCGACCGCTTGCGGCAGGGAATGCGGTGCGAGAGCTGGTGACAGTGCGCTGCGTGAAGGGCGCGGGAGTCATGGCGCCCGCATATCGGCGGATCAGGCCTCGACTCGACGCGGCGGCGGGCGACGCGAGGAGCTCTCGAGGGATCGGAATGCACGGGGTCAGCAGCCCGCACGCCATGGCGGCTCGTGCAGTGCGAGGTCCACTACACCGCCGATAAATTCTGAGCCACGAGGAGATAGTGCGGCGTCGCTCGCTCAGCCTGCAATGCGACTGACAGCTCGCAGTCGTGGGAGCTCCTTGTTTGTCGCGCGCAGCTGTCGCTTGAGTGTTGGAAGAAAGGGAAAAGCGAGCAATGTGTTGGTGACGTGGCGAAACTCTCGGCAGCCAATTGGACGCGTCTCATCCACTTCTTGCGACTTCGGTAGCAGTTGATCTCGTAAATGAATACAGCTAATTTTAAAGCGACTTCTGTGTATGTAAACCCTTGGTAATTCCAGACAAACCTATCTATATAGTGTTGAACAAGCAAACACTTCACTAAGGTATGGTGGCCAGTACATAAATAACTAACAAACATAATCTTCAAAGCATATGTACATGCCAACATACAACAACAGCAGGCGGTCAGCGGGGAAGGAGTCTGTTAATCTGGGACTCGAATTCGTCCACTTTGCGGCTCAACTCCTTGCTGCCAGACGCAACCAACCAAGATTCGCACAGCAATGTCAGCAAAAAAAATCGTCAGTAGAAGGCAAAGGAGACGGAGATGGGCGAGACAACCGAAGCGAGAAGTGGCACTAGAAGAATGGCTAGAGGGAATGTCACTCACACTTGTGCAGTGAGGTCTGGCAGTTGCTGCAATTCCTCATTCATCCTGCACACCGCACAATGCAAGCACTGAAGCTCATTCGACAACATTCCTTGACACATGTAAGGCGAGGTCCAACTGGGGTGGGTGCAACCCTCCATGGATGCTCACCCCATGGATGCTCACCCCATGGATGCTCACCCCATGGATGCTCACCCCATGGATGCTCACCCCATGGATGCTCACCCCATGGATGCTCACCCCATGGATGCCCACCCCATGGATGCTCACCCCATGGATGCTCACCCCATGGATGCTCACCCCATGGATGCCCACCCCATGGATGCTCACCCCATGGATGCTCACCCCATGGATGCTCACCCCATGGATGCTCACCCCATGCATGCACACCCCATGCGCACCTCATGCATGCATTGATGAACCTCATTCCTCTGTTAGCTGCCTCCATTGCTGCCACGAATGGGAGGAGGTGGGAACAAGCATAGCCTTGGAGTGCAGGGACCATGCCTCATACAACACTTTTATTCAAGCATCCACTAATCCACCCACCCAACCAAGCACGCACCTGCGCCCTGCAGCCGCGTGGCAGCATCACGCTCCGCCTCCACATGCGCCACTGTGTTGCTCGTCACCTGCGCCACGGTTCAATCGCCCAGCGTAACATTGGGACAAAAAAAAAAGGAGTTATAGAGCCTGCACAAGTGTGGTGATATTTCCGACAGACTAATCTGAGTTAGCTCAAAAAGGCATGCACACACCTCTTTGAGATGGCCTGTCAGAGTGTCCAATAGTTGCTTCACAGCGTCCGCTGCGCTCATGGCGCTTCGTTCCGCGTCGTTCAGCACCTGTTGGCGGCCGAGTGGACAGGCGGCATGTCAGTGAATGAGCTTCACCTGGAAAGAAGCATAACCTTTGAGAATTCTCAAAAGCGATTCCCAAATAGAAACGCCAGAATGGCAGAGATGGATAATTGGGGCGTGTTGTAGTCAGCTTTTGAGTCGACTTTTGAGTCGACTTTTGAGTTGACTTTTGAGTTGACTTTTGAGTCGACTCAAAACGAGGTGACTTTTGAGTCGACTCAAAAGACACAGAATAGTGGCTGAACCCTAGAATTGTCAAGATGGCAGACACAGAATAACTCGAGTGGATGGCTGGGGCGTTTCAAGTCGCCACAGAATACACCGGGGCGCACATGTGATATGGGCGAAAAGCGATCACCTCCATCATTCCAGCGGGTGATTCTAACGGAGGTGATCCTTGCACCCCGGGTGAGTGGATGCTGTCACTGCTATCCATGCCACGGTCTGCCCCAGTGGGATCAAAACTTAACGGACGATGTGGCCTAGACGACTTCCAGAAAAAACTCTACATGCTCATGAGCGTTTTGCCCGCCCGCTCGCTGTGCGCTTTGCTTGAAACATGGTGTCTGTGGAATGAAATGCCGCCTTCAAATTAGCGCCTTCCTGTTCTTTTCTGGTGCAGAAATAATGGGGTTTGTAGTTCGCAGGATTTAGGGGAACAAAATTCGCGACAGCTGTTACAAGTCGTTGCGATCTGAAGCACGACAGCCAAAGCGTGGGTCGCAGGCAGAAGGCGTTACATCTGAGTTCCACATCGTGCCGCGTCGCATCAGAGGGTCCGCCAACCAGATCGCAGAGACGTGAACCCAACGGGGAATTCGCAGAGTTGACGAACTCTCACGAACTCAGAAGTCACATTCGCAAATCTTTTGACTGCCCCCCCTTGCGGGCCGTTGGCGACGCCCTATGAGACTACAACGAACTCACAACACCAGAAACACCGTCGCGCAGCATCGGCGCTTTGGGATGGGACCGTGCGACGACAACCACCCATCTCAAATAGCCCTTCCAGAAACTAATCGCCTAATTTTTACCAGGCAGCGTTCCCAAAACCAGTTGACACTACATTAGTTGCGTGAGACCAGTGAGGACCCTTCAGCGTTCCATGCGGCTTCCAAAGAACCTCGGGACCAGCTTTTCTGTTCAAGATCGCTCATCGATAAGATTGCCCTGGCCGCTGAAGCATAACTAGCTGGCACATTTCCTCTTTTCCATTAGCAGTTCGCGCGGTTGCACTGGTCACCTTCGCTACGTCCCATTCTCGCGCGTCGGGTTCGTCGTAGCGTAACTACGCGACTCTTACCTTCCAAGTCTTCTAGCAAGGTCGCTAATCGAAACTTCTAACGAATACTTTTAGCTAAGCGAGTCGTCGTAATGGCGGTCCTAACAGCTCCTCCTAATAGCCTGCCGTACGTGGTGGCTTTAAACTGCATGGAGGGCTGCCACGCGCAAGCCGAGGCGCTCGCGGACCTCTGCGTCCTCGAGAATGTCGGGCTCAGCGAGGGCATGCTCGACAAGCTGGAGCGCGCTGACGTGGTGCTCGTTCATTCGCTGCATTACCTCCCGCGCGCCGCGCAGAGGAAGCTCTCCGCGTCGCAGCTGATTCTGTGCCTCGGGTCGTCCGCCGACACGCGCCCCGTCGAGTCGTCGCTCGCGGAGGAGCTCGGCTTGCGATTGGTCCACGTGGACGTGCCGCGTACGGACGAGGTCGCGGACAGCGTGATGGCGCTAATGCTCGGGCTGCTCCGTCGCACGCACGTTCTCGCGGCGCAGGTAGGGCGCGGCGACGCGCGCACATGCGCTCTCTGCTCTTCTGTCTACCCTTACTTCGTACAAATCGCGGCTTTTCATTCGGCATACCCCACTTTTCGCCTCCCTTGTTGCGCACTTTCCCTTGCCCTCCCGCCGCCCCCTCCCCCCGCTCCGCTCCCCCCCACGTTCCCCCCAACCCCCTTCCCCAGGGCTGCACGAGCGCGAGCTGGTTCGCGGGGTTCAAGGGCGCGTGGCAGGGCATGCGGCGGCTGCGCGGGATGGTGTTGGGGCTCGTCGGCGCCAACGCTGCTGCGCGCGCCGTTGCGCGGAGAGCCGCCGTGTTCGGCATGCGCGTCGTCTTCTGCGACCCCGAGGGGGTGAGGCGCTTGCACTGTGTGCGCGGAGTAGAGTCCGCGGAGTAGTGTGCGCGGAGTAGTGTGCGCGGAGTAGCGTGCGCGGAGTAGCGTGCGCGGAATAGAGATTGCTATAAGCACGAGGTACTTTCTCATTAAATCCCATCATCACCCTTCTCCCCTCTTCTCTCCCCCACCCCCACACAACCCGCCTTGCCATCCTCTTCCCGCTCCCCCCCGGCACCTCCTCTCTTTACTCTCCGCAGGAGCTGCAGCGCTCTCCGCGGGCGGCAGCGCTGATGCGCGCGGTGGGTGCGGAGCGGAGCACAGTGGAGGCGGTGCTGGCGGCCAGTGACGTGGTGTCGCTCCACGTGGCGCTCACAGATTCGACGCTCCACCTCATCAACGACGACACCGCCAAGCACTTCAAGAAAGGTCGGGAGAAGAGAAGGGCGGTGGGAGGGAGGTGGGAGGGGGGACAGGCTGGTTGTTTTTGAGACGTCTCAAAAACAACCTCATCACACGAGGGGGGACAGGCTGGCAGGGAGGAGGTGAGAGGGGGGAGGCTGGCAGGGAGCAGGGGGGATTGTATATGAGTGGCAACAATTGATTTGAGGGAGCATAACAGATTCACAGGTGTAATGCGTTGCTTCTTTAGAATTCTCAAAAGCCAACTCATCCATGATGCTGAGTCCCTATGCAGGTTCAGCTGCGAGCGACCATCTGAGAGGCCATATGGTATTTTTGTCGCCTATCCTTGGTATCTCCTCTGTGACCCTTCTCCCCTTTCCCGCTCCCCCCTTTCAATCCCCCCCCCCCCCCCCCCCCCCAACACACCAGGCGCCATGCTGATCAACGCGAGCAGCTGTCACCTGGTGAGCGACAGCGCCATCAAGAGGGCGCTCAACAGCGGCCGCCTGGGCAGCTGCGCGCTTGATGGTGTTGAGGGCAACCAGTGGCTCGAGGCGTGGGTGAGTGTGATGTGATGGTGGACTGTGGGTGTGTAGATGGGTTTATTGTGGTGATAGGCTGTGAATGGGTGGGTGTGGCTGTGAAGAGGTAGGCGCGTCTGTGCGCTGGACAGCGTTGAGGGCAACCAGTGGCTCGAGGCATGGGTGAGTGTGATGTGATGGCAGCATGTGGTCGAGGTGAATAGATACGTGTAATGTGGTGATTGGTTGTGAGTGGGTGGGCCGTGGCAGCTGCGCTTGATGATGGGTTTGACGGCAACCAGTAGTGGTGGGTGGGTGGGTGAGTGCGGTGGGTGGGTGGGTGGGTGGTTGAGGGTGATGGGTGGGTGGTTAGTATTGCTGCCCTTCTGTTATGATGGGTGGGTGATGATGGGTTTGACGGCAACCAGTCGTGGTGGGTGGGTGATGAGTGAAGAAGGCCTGTGGTGTACAACAGAACAGGCGAGCTGACTCTTGAGTGGCCTAAAAAAAAAAAAACCACCTGTGGTGGGTAACAGTGATAGCCCTGGGGAAGTCCTCCAAACACTGCACATACAACCTTCTCACAGACCTTCAAGTCAACCCTCCTCCACTCCGCTTCTCCTTCCCTCTTCCCTCCTCCATCCCACCCTGCCGTGCATCGCCCTCAAAGGTCCGGGAGTTCCCGAACGTCCTCATCCTGCCTCGGAGCGCCGACTACAGCCATGAGGTTTGGGAGGCGCTTCAGTCCAAGGCTGTGGCAGTGGTTCGGGCGTTCCTAACCTCCGGGAAGGTGCCGGAGGAGCTAGTGTTGGACGACTCGTTTGGAGGGGTGGAGGGGGAGGAAGAAGAGGAGGAAGAAGAATCGCAATGGCAAACGCTACACGCACTCTTCCCTGCTTCTTCTGCTGATCGTGCTGGTGGTGGCGCTGCGAACGGTGGTGATGGTGGTGGTGGGATGGGGGGGAAGAAGGCAGGACGGGCGAGTGGGGGAGGGCGAGCGGAGGAGGGAAGGAGAGGTGGGGGCGATGGGAGCAAGAGTGGATCTTCTGGAGGGAAGAAGCAGGGGGGAGAGAGGAGGGGAGACACACAGGCAGATGCGTTAACAGCTTCAGTGGAGAAGGTGGGAATCCCCTCTCGCGTCTGCTCTGCTATCCTCTTACACTTCTGAGTCGACTCAAAAGTCACCTCTCACACTTCTCCTCCTTTCTAAAATCAACTCAAAAAAAGGCGGAGACACACAGACAGATGCATTAACAGCTTCAGTGGAAAAGGTAAGAATCCCCTCTCGCCTCCTCTCAGCTCCCTCCCTCCCACCCTCTCCTCTCACACTAGGACTGCTCCCGCTTCTCCTCTTCCTTGTTTTCCGTTTATCTGCCCCTTTCTGTCTCCCCTCGCCTCCGTCCCTTATCCCTTTCATCTTCAACTCTCGCCTCCCTTTCATCTTCAACTCTCGCCTCCCTTTCATCTTCAACTCTCGCCTCCCTTTCATCTTCAACTCTCGCCTCCCTTTCATCTTCAACTCTCGCCTCCCTTTCATCTTCAACTCTCGCCTCCCTTTCACCGTTCCCTCCTTTCTCACCTCTATCTTCCCTCTTCCCCTTTTCATCCCCTCTCCCTGTGTCCAAACCAGCATCTCCCGGACTGTCCACTGCAAGACGGCATGCTGGTGGCGCTACAGCCGCTCTCCACCACCTCCGCTCTCCCTCACACTTCCCCACCACCCCCCCCTCCCCCTTCCCCCCCTGCCCCCAAACCAGCATCTCCCGGACTGTCCACTTGTGGCAAGACGGAATGCTGGTGGCGCTACAGCCACTCTCCACCACCTCCTCCTCCTCCGCCTCCTCCTCCGCTCTCTCCCTCCCAGCGGCCTTCGCAGCGGCCTTCCCCAAGGCGCTCTTTGCGGCCAAGCGCCACCAAGGGGGGGCGTCGTGGCGGTTTGCACCCGTGGAGGGCATCTCCACGCAGCACCCCAGCGTGCAGTTCGTGATCGTGTGCGACAAGGTGGGTGGGTGGTTGTGGGGGTGGGTGATGGTGCGTGTGTAGCACAGTGATGGGTGGTCGTAGCACCTAATCATGACGACTGCACCTCTCACATGCATCCTCCCAATCCCATCCCATCCCACACCACACCATACCAACCGCTTTTCCACATCACTCACAGGATCTGCTGGGATGCCGGTCGGCATTCGCAGGAGGCAAGTTCCTACAAGCCACGGAGGGCGGAGAGCTGCTGCTGGTGAACGACGCCTTGGATCTGGCAGAGAGCTTGGTGTTGATTTTGAGAATTCTCAAAATCAACCTAAAAAAAAATGGTCTTCACCGCCCTGCCCCTTGTGTCCCCCCTGTCCCATGCCACATGATTCTAACCCACTTCACGCATCCCCATGTCACACCAACCCACTTCTGCGCAACTGATAGGATCTCCTGGGTTGTCGGTCAGTCTTCGCAGGCGGAAAGTTCCTACAAGCCACAGAGGGCGACGAGCTGCTGCTTGTGAACGACGACTTGGATCTCACTTGTCCCCCCTGTCCCATACCATACCATCCAAACCCTCCTCACCCTCCTCTGGTGAACCACAGGACCTCCTGGGGTGTCGGTCAGTCTTTGCGGGGGGCAAGTTCCTACAGGCAACAGAGGGGGGAGAGCTGCTGCTGGTGAACGATGACTTGGATCTCGCAGAGAGCTGGTTCTTCACCGCCCTGCCCCACCCCTCCAACGGCCTCGCCCTCTCCCTCACCAACGCGCTGCACTCCCATGTGAGCTCCCCTTTCTCTCTTACCCTCTCCATCCATCCCAAACGCCCCGCCTTTCTCACTCACCAACGTCCTCCACGCAATTTCTCTTTCTTTCCCTCCCTCGGACTCGCCTTCTCCCTCACCAACGCTCTGTACTCCCGTGTGCTTTCTGGGGCTCAGCGTTCTCGCACATCATTTCTTTAAACACACCCTTGCGCCCTCTCTTCCTTCATATAACTAACATCTCTCTCCCATTACTACCTCAATCAGCTAAGAGACGTTGTAAGTGCAGTGATCTTCCACACTTACTGCTCCTACGTGCATCACTCCCTTTCATTTGTTCCCATGTGCCCACAACACGTCTTTCCCTCTCAACCCCACACTTACACCCACTCACCCCCACACTCCCCCCCTACCCATGTGCCCCTCTGTTCCTGCTGGCAACCTCAGGTGGAACTTCAGGTGCTGGTTCATGTCTTGAGTGGAGGTTGATGACGCGAGCACAGTAACCAGACACGCACAGAGAGAAAGAAAGAGCAGCAGGGTTTGAAAGAGGCGCCTTGGCCCCTGGTGCGTCAGCCAAAGCTAATGCCTGGGGGCCTTTGTCCTCATTGTCCCGTCTACACTCCATCCTTCTCCTTTCTGTCTATCAGCAGCATTCACGCTGGGTTTCTGTTCCAGAGTTGTCCTGAACAGTCTTTAGCTGTACGGTATATGTCGGAGCTGTCTTGTCGACTTTTATTTATTTGCGTGCTTATCCGCTCTGTGCATAAGACCAGGCTAACCAGTCAAGTTGAGCTTGTGTGCGTGTACCCTGTCAGTCATGCTGTTGCACAAGCAGTGAAATGATACTGAAATGCACCTGCACATGCCAGTAGAATCGCTAAAGCCTTCAAGGAGCTGTCCACAATGTGCTTGGTCTCCATGTCAAGGCAATTGAATGCCTGGCATCAATTATAGTGGCACAGTGGCACCAGCTAAGGTACATTCCGTCAGTCCATATGGCTGCTTTTCACATCCCAGCCTCCCTATCTCCTCTGAATTCCCTCTCGAGGGTGCAATGCAATGTGATTGCAGTTGGGATTGCCCTGTCCTGTTAACATCGGTCGATACCCACAGAAACAGCTTCAGTACGGTCGGGTGACGGGCTTCACGTCCCAGGTCTCCTTGGCAACTCCTTGATCGTGCAGTTACTGATGAACCGCCCACACCCTGCCGTGCTGACCCTCCCATATTTTCTCAGCATACTCCCTGACCAGACCCTGTACTCTATTAACAGCCGTACAGCAAAGCTCCTCAATACGGCCGAGTGACGGGCTTCACGTCCCAGATCTCCTCGGCATACTCCTTGATCGTGCGATCACTGGTGAACCGCCCACACCCTGCTGTGCTGCTGATGCTCATGCGCGTCCACTTGGGCACGTCCACATACGTTGCATCGATGGCCGCCTGCAAAAGGCAAGAGGGCAGAGGTGAAGGGGAGAATGAGGAGGGTGGATTGATTGGCATTGATGCTCATGCGCGTCCACTTGGGCACGTCCACATACGTTGCATCGATGGCAGCCTGCCAGGGTTGAAGAGAGGCAGGGAACAAGGTAGGCAGGGAGGGGGCAGGAGTGGGGGAGGGAGGAGGGTAGTTAGACCAGGACCCGACCATGCTGCTGATGCTCATGCTCGTCCACTTGGGCACGTCCACATATGTTGCATCGATAGCCGCCTACAAGAGGTGAGGCGAGCGGGAGAACTGATAGGTACGGAAGAAGAACAGAGGGCGGAGGGTAGCTTGAGCCAAGCATTGATGCACGAAATACATTCACAGATGTTGAGAGGAGGAAAGCGAGGGGAGCAGAGGAACATGCACAGTAGAGATAACCAAAGGAAGAGAAGGAAGGAAGCAAACGGAGGTGCACACATATGCTTAGAGGTAGGTGGGGAAGAGAAGAGCGCACCTGGGCTTGCAGGTAGGTGGGGAAGTCGTTGGCAAGCAGGTAATAGTCGTTGCCCGGGCCGTCAATGGAATCCATGAGCGGTGCAAAGAACTCCGTCCACCCAAAGTACCCACTGCGGATCATGCTGTGGTGCGAGGGGGATGGGGTCCAGGGAGAGAGGGGTGGAGAGAGAGAGGGAGGGGGGGTGAGGAAAGGGGAGAGGGGATCAATTTGTGCAAGAAACGAAAGGTGGAGAGAGGCGGAAAGAGAGGGAGGAGGGAGGAGCTGTCCACTCAAAGGGAAAGAGCTGTACGTACATGCTGCGAATCATAGCGTGGTAGAAGAGGGAGGGTGGGAAGGAAGGGATGGGAGGATGGAATACGGGAGGAGGAACCAAGAAGACGAGAGAGTGGGAGGAGAGGTGTGAAAGTGTGTTTGAACAAAGGAACTGCACAAAATTGGGATGGCAGGGGACAAGGAGTACTGAAAGGAAGCTGCCTCATAGGAGCAATCGGGCACTCACCCCGGCACTGCCCGATTGCTCCTATGAGGCAGGCACTCACCCCACAACGCGAGTGAAGTTGCGGCAAGGGGTGAAGGTGCGCCGTTCCTCCCTCAGCCGCGGCACGTCCTTGGTCTCCGCCCCAAACACAAACTGCAACCAGGGCCATTCACAAGCACCGCCGAGTGCGATGGAAAGTGGAGGACCATTGAGAAGCATCAAGACGTGGAGACGGAGTGAGAAGCAGGACAGAACACACGGACAACAGCACAAACCACGTCCTGACAGCCGTGTGAGAGTTATGCGCCGCTGAAAACAACAGCACGTATCATCCCATCCCTGTCCTGGGCTTTACTGCTCTGCACTCTGCTCTCTTAGAGAGCAAAAAACACACTCGCAATCTGGACTGGAAGGCTCACTCGAAATCATGGAAATGAAAACGCAGCGTGGCAAGAAAATGTGATGTACCATGTCGCACAGTCATGGCATGGCACGGTCGCTCGACCCGACAAGGTGTGCAATGCAATGCAATGCACACACAGGTTTGCCCAGGGAAGACAAGCCATGTTCCCGTGACACGGCATGTCACTATTCCAGACGTCACAGCTAAGGTTTGTTCTCATTGCATTGCATACATGCCACGGTGTGCCATGCTGCCATGACAGGCATGTCACCACAGCAGATCTGCACGAGAGTACGCATAATCTCCTCTCGGATGCGCACGTACCATGTTCTCGGGCCCGATTTCCTCTCTGATCTCGCGCGTGGCGCCATCCAGAGTGCCCAGAATGAGGCACCCGTTCATTGCAAACTTCATGTTGCTCGTGCCCGATGCCTCGTTGCCCGCTGTGCTGTTATGGGGGTATGGAATGGATGCAGAGTGTGGTGTCAATCACCTAATCCAGTGCTGTCACCTGATGGGCTGTGAGAATGAGCTAGCGTGTTAAGAAAATCAATTAATGCGCTGTGCGAATCACCATACGTGCCGTGCGAATCACCTGAGGTGCTGTGGGAATCACCTGAGGTGCTGTAAGAATCACCTGACGTGCTGTGGGAATCACCTGAGGTGCTGTGAGAATCACTTGATATGGTTAGAAAATCACCTGATGTGTTGGGAGAGGTCGCTGGCAGGGATGATGAGCTCAGCAAGCGACACGTTGTAATCCGGAATGAACACCTGGCGGGGGATGAGAGGGCACGAGGCGTGAGGTGGGAGGGGAGAGGTGGGAAGTGGGAGGTGGGAGGTGGGACGTGGGAGGTGGGAGGGAGGGCAGGGCACACAGAGGCATAGCAAGCAAGGTGGCTAGTATCCACGGAAAAGAGGGGAGGGAGAGGGTGTGACCATTTACTTGGTCTGCAAGCGACGCTGAAATGCTGACAATGGCGGGAGAATATAGTCCGTAAGATTGGCATGGCAGGTGAACGAGGGCAAAGCATTCAAGCAAGCCCAACTCACCAGCTTAAGAACGTCGCCCACGACCTCGTCATTGCTGATCACATTGCTAACAGCGCTAACGAGCTCCAAAATCTTATCTTGTTCAAAGGCACCCCATTCACAGCCAAAACCAAACCCACCAGCTTGAGCAGGTCGCCCACATCCTCGTCCTTGTTGATCACTTCGCTCACAGCGCTGATAAGCTTCACGATCTTCTTCGCCAGGTCATACCCTGGTGCCGCCTTGCCGCCCAGAAGACACACCCGCGGCACCACCCGTTTGCGCTCCTCGGGACTCATCTTCTGCTCCAAACAACACAAGGGAGGAGGGGGGGCAGAGGCAGGGCAGGTACAGAAGCACGTGTGTTGCTGATTATTGGAAATGCGTGCAAGTGCTCAACAGAAAGCCAAAAAAAAAAGGGGGACCCCAAGTCAGAAATGGCATGACAAATCCCCTGTCACACAATCTGAGAAATTATTTTCAGAACGTCAAGTGACCTTATGTACCTTCATGCAATTGTAGGGTGCCGATGATGCTCATGGATTCATGGATTCATTCCAGTCAACCGAGAAAAGCCAACTGAGCCAGTCTTACTAGCCAGCAAATCATTACTGCAAATGGCTGACCTTGATGCAGTCGTAGCGGTGGATGATGCCCATTACGTTGAGCAGCTGCCGCTTGTACTCGTGGATTCGCTTCACCTGCACGTCAAACATGGCGTCGATGCTCACCTGCAGAGCAGCATGGGGGTGGGGAGGGGAGAGCCACAGGAATGGAACTAGTGGGAGAAAGGGAGAGTCGACTCAAAATTTCCTCTTGTACTCGTCGATGCGCTTCACTTCACCTGCACGCCAAACATCGCGTCGATGCTCACCTGCAGCATGGGGTGTGTGTGCGGAAATCACGGGAATGAAGCAAGATGAATAAGAGAGAGATGAAGTGGGGAAAAAGTGGTTCGTGACTCCTACAGTGGCTGGAGAAACAAGAGGTGAAAGGGAAAGGAAGCGAGGGCGAGTGGAAAAGCTTGAACTGATGTATGCAGGTCACAGGAACTTCAGATGGCGAATAGGGAACTAAGGCGCACCTGCAGGCAGCACACGTCGCAGTACGCAGCACACGTCACAGTACGCAGCACACGTCACAGTACGCAGCACACGTCACAGTATGCAGCACACGTCACAGTACGCAGCACACGTCACAGTACGCAGCACACGTCACAGTACGCAGCACACGTCACAGTACGCAGCACACGTCACAGTACGCGGCACACGTCACAGTACGCAGCACACGTCACAGTACGCAGCACACGTCACAGTACGCAGCACACGTCACAGTACGCGCACACGTCACAGTACGCGCACACGTCACAGTACACAGCACACGTCACAGTACGCAGCACACGTCACAGTACGCAGCATAGGGAGGAGGCAGAAGGTTGCGTGAAAAGGGGAAGGAGAGGAAGACGGATGGAAGGGAAGGGAGCTTGCACTCGATGCACTGAACGCGGCATCAATGCAGGAATCAATGCACGCCTGGTGGTGCACATCGAGGCAGCTGTTGAGGAGACTTGTGAGTCGACTGAAAGCTGAGAGACAGCTGAAGAGGAGGTTGAAAATCTCACCTTGATCCCTGAAATCCCCTCGATGTATGCTGCCAGGCGAGCTTTGTTCTGCCTGCGAACCTGGACATGTGGACATTACACGCATGCATGCACGTGCACACACCAACACACATACACACGCACACACACATGCACATACAATCACACCCGCATAGCAGCACATTAGAGCACACCAACAGACATGCACGCAGAAGCGCAGGGACACCGAAGCACACATCAGCATGTGAAAATGATAATGAGGTTGGATGCCCACAATGGTGGGAGATCAGTGGTGAGAAGACAGGCACACCCTAATGCCCAACTAAGCAACGCACGGCCACACAGTCATACAGACACACAGCCACACAGTCATACAGACACACAGCCACACAGTCATACAGACACACAGCCACACAGTCATACAGACACACAGCCACACAGTCATACAGACACACAGCCACACAGTCATACAGACACACAGCCACACAGTCATACAGACACACAGCCACACAGTCATACAGACACACAGCCACACAGCAGCCCCACCTCCATCCACTGTGTCTGCAGCAGCGGGTCATCCACATGCTCCTTGAGCCCTGCGACCAGGTCCAGGTGGGTGATCCATGACTCCGTGCCCAGCCACTGCGTCAGAATCGCCGCCAGCCCCGGGTTGCAGAACGCCAGCCACCGTCGCTGATGGGGAGGCGGGGGGAGCGGGTGGGAGAGGAGGGGCGGGTGGAGTGAAGCACGGGGAGTGGGGCAGGTGGAGTGTGTGTGAGGGATCATGGCCAGCCACTGGGTCAGAATCGCCGCCAGCCCCGGGTCGCAGAACGCCGGTCGCCGACGCTAATGGGAAAGGAGAGGCTTGCGAGAGAAGGGGCGGGTGGAGTGGGGAGGGAAGAATCCAGCCACCGAGGCCGGACTGCTGTGAGAACCAGGATGGTGATCACAAGCCGGTGGTGCCGCTGAGAGGGGAGCAGTGCGGTTGGGATTGGATGGAGGACAAGCTCGGGTGGGATAGCGAGGCACCCACTCGGTCATCAACAAAATACGCTGACAATGGCGGAGAGTATGGCGAATCAGATTGGCATGGATACCTTCTGACAGAGGCCTGATCTGGAGCGATGTGACTCACCTGGGTGACACCGTTTGTCTTGTTCTGGAACTTGTGCGGCCAGATGTCATAGAAGTCCTGCAGGAGAGCCACAAGGAGGCAAATTTGAAAAAGGCAGGGTTGAGAAGCGCACCCACACAACCACACGTGCACCCTTCAACAAACCCGATATTTCAGTCCCCAGCCTACCAACACAAATACACGTTCTCGAGCAGCCTGCATGGTTGCATGGCTCCATCCTGCTGAAGGGTGTTTTTGAGAATTCTCAAAAACACCCTTCATCATCACGTTTTCGAGCAGCCTGCATGGTTGCATGGCTTGGCTCCATCCTGCGTCCACGCTCTCCGCTTTCCTTCCCTCCTCTCTTGCTGACTTTCACTCTTCTCTGCTGCTATCTCTCCCTCCTCTCTCACTGAATTTCACTCTTCTCTGCTGCTATCTCTCCCTCCTCTCTGCTCCCGCTCAGTACTCTCTGCTCTCCCTTGGTGCTCTCTGCGGTCACCTTGAAGAGGGTGTGTTCAACGAGGTCCGTGTGGATTTGAGACACGCCATTGATGGTGTGGCACGTCACCACCGCCAGCGTTGCCATGCGGATGCTCTGAGGAGAAGGTGGAAAAGAGGGGAGGGAGTGAGAGAGAGGAGGAGAGGAGAACAGGGGAAGTCCGAAGACGGAGAAACAGTCATGGCACGTCACCACCACCACACCAGGTGACTTTTGAGTCGACTCAAAAGTCACGGCACGTCACCACCACCACACCAGCATTACCATGCGGATGAACCGGGGAGAGGGGGAAGCAGGACAGCGGGACAAAGTATCAGAAGGTTTGCGTACGAATGCTTTGATGCCACGTGGAAGCGGGAATGCTCTGAAAATGGAGCGGGAAGGAAGCTTACCTTGCTGTGCACTATATGCCACTTGCCCCTCACCTCACCTTGTACGTCCATCCTTCCTCACCTTGCGTGTGCCCACGTCCACCCCTCCTCCCACTTTGTGTGCGTCCTAGCACGCCCTCCCCTCTCCCTTCCCCACCTTGTGCCCCCTCCCCCACCTTGAGCGCGCTCTCCCTTCCATTACCTTTCCCCCTCCTTGTGTAGCCCAGCACCTCCCCTTTCCCCTCCCCCACCCCCCACCTTCCACCTTGTGCGCACTCCCCCACCTTGTGCGCACTCCCCCACCTTGTGCGCACTCCCCCACCTTGTGCGCACTCCCCCACCTTGCAACCCCCCCCCCCCCCCCCCCACCTTGTGCGCGCCCTCCTCAATGATGGACATGCGGGAGAGGCGGTCGTAGTCGTTGCCGATGCGCTTCTTCAGGTCCACAATGAAGTTGTGGTTGATGTCGTAAATGATCTGATGATGAGGGGAGGGGAAGAGCGTGGGAGGCCATGTCGAGGGGGAGAGGGTGGGAAGGGGGCGGGGGAGTGAGGAGGGGAGAAGGCTGTGAAGCAGGAAGACAGTCGCATTTGCAGCCGATGCGCTTCTTCAGGTCCAGAATGAAGTTCAATGAAGTTGTGGTTGATGTCGTAAACGATCTCCAGGAAGGGGTGCAGAGGGAGGAGGGAAGTGAAATCAGGGCAACGTCTTTCTTGACGTTGTGGTGCTATTGTACATGGCCTGACGTGGGGATGGGAAAAGGGGCAAGGGGGAAGACGGGAGGGGGATACAACCGTCCGTCGTGGTTGATGTCGTACATGATCCAACGAAGGGAGGGGGAGCAGGGGAAGGTAGGTGAATGAGGGGGTGCTTGCAACGTGAGGAGGAGTTGAGAGGTCTTTCACACAGGAGAGGGGCGAAAGCACAGGTTCTAATCTGTGGCGCCTCAAGCAGCTCACCTCCAGGTGGCGAGGCAGCAGCGTCTCCAGGATCTCCACAGGCCACTTCTCCAGCGCCTCAGGCAGCACGGTGTGATTCATCATGTATGAAAACGTATGCGTGGTGATGTTCCACGCTACCCCCACTCCAGCCCCTCCTCATCCACCAAGAGGCGCATCAGCTCCACCAGCGCCAGCATCGGGTGCGTGTCATTCAGCTGCAGCGCCACCTTGTGCGTTTTGACTCCAACCAAAACCCATCTCAAAACCCCAAACCCCGCAACAAACTCACCTCCAGGTGGCGAGGCAGCAGCGTCTCCAGGATCTCCACGGGCCACTTCTCCAGCGCCTCAGGCAGCACAGTGTGATTCGTGTACGAGAACGTATGCGTGGTGATGTTCCATGCGTACCCCCACTCCAGCCCCTCCTCATCCACCAAAAGGCGCATCAGCTCCACCAGAGCCAGCACCGGGTGCGTGTCATTCAGCTGCAGCGCCACCTTGTCTTTAAACTCGTCGAACGTGGCGTGCTCCTCCTTGTAGCGGCGCACGACATCTTGCATGGTGGCGGAGACGAAGAAGTGCTGCTGCTTGAGGCGCAGCTCCTTGCCCTGGTACGTGCGGTCGTCGGGGTACAGCACGCTGCTGATAGCTTCCGCCTTCTGCTTGCTCAGAATCGCGTTCACGTAGTCCCCCGTGTTGAAGCTTTGCTGAGGGGGGGATTGCGGAGCACGGGGAAGAGTGGGACGGGGGGTTTGGATGGGTGAAGTGGAAGGGAAAGAAGGGTTGTGTGAGGGAGATTGAAGGAAATGTAGGAGAAAAAGAGAAAGGGAGGAGGGAACGCGAGAGAGTGTGCTGGGGGAGTAAGATGGCGACACGTGGCTGCCACAAGTTTTGAGGCGCCTCAAAATGACTTCTGAGGCACCGCAAAAGAGCGTGCTGGGAGCATACGATGGCGACACATGGCTGCCACAAGAACAAGATGTCACCATCACTGGCTTCCTCTCATCTCATACTGACCAAGTCAAACTCGCCGCTGGGCTTTGCTCCCCAGAGGCGCAAGTTGATGGTGTTGTTGGTGTGGTAACCTGGGATAGGGTTGTCGTATGCCACTGCCTCCACCTGGTGAGGAAGATAGAGTGAACGGGGGGATAGTTGGATGAAGCAGAGGAGCGAAGAGAGGCACATCAAATGAGCGAGGTAAGAAGAAAACAACAAAAGTTATATAAGCCGTCAGCTTGAATAAAAAATATATGGTAGTGGGCAAGGAGGGAGTGGGGAGGGGGGAGGGGGAGAGAGAACGATGAGGGGAGGGAGTGAGGGAGAAACCCTAGAATACCCTATAATGAATACAAGGACCGTTCGAGAGGGAGAAAGAGAAGGCAGAGTGGAGCTGACCGTTTCGCCCTCGACCCATCGCTTGCGGGGGTGGCCGGCCTCGGTGTAGGACTCAACGGTGCCATAGAAGCGCACGGGGTACGTCACAAACACACGCTCTATCTCCCACGGGTTGCCAAACGTCAGCCAGTAGTCTGGCTGCTCGTGCTGAAAGCCGTCCTGTAGGGTCTGCCTGAACATGCCGTACTGGTAGCGGATGCCGTAGCTGGGGAAGGGTGTGAGAGAGGGGCAGAGTGCGGAAGAATTGATAGCGGAAGAGGAGGGAGAAACGAAATTGCTGAAGAAGAGGGACAGGAGACTGGGAAGCATGCGAGCATGGTGATAAGAGGCAGCACAAGGTCCGCATAGCCGTGTTTTTAATGAGGATTATCTTAGCATGCGCTAGCAGATTAGTTTCCAAACGGGTGCTTTTCTCAATAATCAGCTCAAAGGGCATCAGAAGGGCTGGTTGCTTACCCCCATCCTGGGTAGTTGAGGGTCGCCATGCTGTCGAGCACACAGGCTGCCAGGCTGAAAACATGGCATAAACAGGCAAAGATAAAGCGGCAGGCGAGAGCTGACTTAGCCACCAGCATTGCAGCAGGCACGCTCTACCACATGTTGTATGCAGGTTACATTCCAGCCATTAAGATGTGTGCTGGCATCTGTAAGACTTTTTTTGTGTTATGCTCCCAGAATATTTCACAAAGCTTAGCTGCTGCTGCTGCAGCAGCAGCAGCAGCAGCAGCAGCAGCAGGGGGGAAAGACTGACCGGCCAAGGCCACCGTTGCCAAGAGCAGCATCCCTCTCCTGCTCCGCCAGCACCTCGAGCTTGTAGCCCAGCTGCCCCAGCGCCTCCACGTACTGGTCCTTCATGCCCAGGTTGAATATGCTGTTCAGCAGCGACCGCCCTGCACGTGAACAACACGTGAACAGAAGTCACAACGAGAGGTCTTAACTGGCAGCACCTCAAGCTTTTTAAAGCCCACTTGCCTCAGCGCCTCCATGTACACCATGCCCAGGTTGAAAATGCTGTTCAGCAGCGTGAACAGGTGAACAGTAACCAGCTGGCAATGTCCACAAAAAGAGTAGAGACGTAGAGGGTGAGCCTTGCAATGCAAACAGTGCAGATAGACCATGTTGAACAAAACAACACATGTTGAGGAATTACCCATGAGGAACTCCACAACGAGGCAGTAGACGCGCTTGGAGACCTGATTCTTATCGACATGCCAATGCTATGGTTGCTACGGTACCTCGACCTCAGCCCGTGCGTGCGTACCCATGAGGAACTCCATGGAGAGGTAGTAGACGCGCTTGGAGTCCTGGTCCTTGAAGTACTGCTGCGTGTCGTTCCAGCTCTCAATCAGGCGGTCCCTCACGCTGTACGCTGTCGCCTGGGACACAACAGCAGAGACAGAGACAGCACAGTTGAAGAATGTTTCACTTGTGATCTTGTGTTTGGGCTTCACGAAAAAAACAGCACCAGAAAGGTAAAATAACCCCTCACTTCATTCAGTTTGGGCTCACTTACGAAAAAAAGGGGACAAATAATTACGAAAATGAAATTAAAGGGGAGACAAAGGGATGATTCTTCTCACCCATTCAGATCCAGCGTTCCTCCGCGCTCACCTGGTAAGCCTCGAAGTCGTCGAATTTGTATCTGCTGCGCGCCATGGTGTACTCCACGTGGTCCACAATGCTCTTCTGGATGGACAGCACGTCGTTCTTGATGTACGTGTCCATCAGGTTGTGCAGCAGCTCCGTACGCCGTTTCATCTCCGGCGAAGCCGACGGGTCCAGAGATGTAACTGGCCGGATAAGTCTCGCGGGCCGGACCGGAGCATCTTTCGGCGAGTCACCCTTGGCGTCTAGAACCAACGCTCTAACCACGCACTTGCGGATGTTCTGCAGATCGCGTTTCTGGGTGATCTTTTTTCCGTCAACGGCCGTGACGTAAAACGCGTCGGCTACGTTTCCGTCATCGTCGAGATCGACGACGGCCTTGCCGACGTCCAGGCCGAGATCGCGAAACGTGAGCGTTAGAAGCTGGAGCAATCCGGGTCTGTTAGGGGCGCTGACGGTGATAATAGTGTAGTTTTCGCTGCTCTCGTTGTCCACTGTAACAACGGGCTCGCCGGGAGCTGGGGTTGGCGAGAAGACCTTGCTGAAATCCAGCAACAGAGAAATCTCGCCGTCCGCGCGAGCTCGTACCAGGACTCCACGGCGGATCTTACGGGAAACTCCAACTCGCTCACTGTTAATGTTTCTACCCGTTGCAGCCGGACGGCGGAGGTTAGAAGGAACCTTCACCGCAAGTTTGGGGTGAGAGATTCCGAGCCCGAGAAAGCTACTGGCAGCGCGAAGAGCGCTGGCCATGGTTCCGGGTACCGTGCGAAATTCACAAAATTCTCGACTATCGGCAAAGATACAGTTGAAGCGAACAATTACAAGCGTGTAATGTTCGCTGCAAAGGCACCTGAGGGCCGAAGCAGTACAGGCGTCAGTCGGTAGTAGACTGACGAATGCAAGGTGGGAATCAGGACGGAATCAAGAATGATGGAGTGAAGTGTGTCGAGGATGTGGGGAAGAGAACCTCGAGGTTGTGTGAGGGAACTCTGGATCGGGTGAAGGTTGGCGAGAACCTTGGAGTCGTCCCAACAAAGCAGACAGCTCGGGAATTCCGAAAGCAATATTACCAGTACAAGCTTTTCTTGGGATCCAACTCGTCTGAAGATGCCTGAAACGAGGACGTAGCGCAGTGAGTACCTGGACGAGTTGCAGACAGACAGGTCAGTCAGTCTTCTCTGATTGGTTGCTTTTCCCGGTGTTCTGGAGCCGCAGTTGAGGATCTGATCTGTCGCTGGGCTTTGCCCATTCGCGTTAGAGGGTGGACAGTCAACCAAAATCGAGTGCTTTATCGTCTGAAAACTACTCACCCAGTATCGCATGTATGCCATTTTGGCTAAATGGGAATTGGATAGTGCCATGAATGTATACATTCTTGCTCCATGGTTTGTCAAACCATCCCGAGCATTGCTTGCATATGGCATCATAGAAACATTGATACACTACCCACTACATTCACATCCACAGCATCTATGGTTCCTAACTCCTACTCATGTCATCTCTCATACACCACTTTCAGCTTTGACGCTAGCACATCCATTGAAGGTCGTGTCTCCCACTTCCCTGCAACTGCATACTTCACCAGAGTTAACGCCATAAGTGCATCTTTTTTTGTCCACTGCCCAGCCAGTGTCTGGTCCATCACTTTGTCCGCTTCGGGCAGGTCAGCCCCAGTAGCAAGGGTCATTCGCAAGGCTTCAAAGTTTTTGTCAGTGACCAGCATGCCCGTAACAAGTTCGAGGAGAAAGATCCCAAATGCATACGTGTCACACTTGGCGTTCAAATGACCTGCAACGAGCGCAAGGGAAAACATACAACAGAAACCCACACAGGAGAAACAACTCCAACAAAATTATTCATAGGCGTGTCTTGGATCACCAGTACAATCCACAGAGCCCAATCACAACAGAATTGACAGCAAATGGAGCCAGGGAACGAGAATTGTCGAACAAGGAAAAAGAGAGCAGTAAGCAGTCGTACCAGACTCAAAAGTAGACAGGGTCAATGAAGCCCATGGACATGACATGACCCCCCCTCAAGAAAACAAGGGAAAAGGGCTGTGGGCGTACCAGACTCGAAGTAGACAGGGTCAATGTAACCTGTGGAGCCCATGACCCGCGTGGTGACGTGGCTCTGCCAGTTGTTCACCGTGCGTGCTAAGCCAAAGTCCGCCAGCACTGGCGTTAGGTCCTGGAGGAGCCAGAGCAGGTGGACGATGAGGAGAGACAAGGGATCTTTGAGTCGTCTGGAAATAGAAATTAGGGTGAATTCTGAGTTGACTAAAGAAAATGCACACCAAGCCAAAGTCCGCCAGCACTGGCGTCAGATCCTGGAGGAGGCATGCCAGGTGGATGAAGTGAGAGAGATATGGGGGATCAAGAAGGGATGGGTTGGAATGGAGCAGTTTGCATGTCAGGTGGCAGGCTGTTGTGCATGCACATGGATGCATCCCCGCATGCATGCATGCATGAACAAGTACGAATGCATGTCTACATGAACAATCCCATGAATAAGGAAGACACAAGCACAGAACCAAGAGCAGCAACACACCCACACATGCAAGCACAACACATAGAGCAGCACATCTCTCTGAGAAGCACGTTGGAGGCCTTGAAGTCGCGGTGCACGTAGTGGTGGCTGCGCATCAAATCACCTGCAGCGCCTGCACTTTTTTTAGGGGCCTCACCTCACCCCCAGCAAGCACAGAACGCACAGCAACACACACCCACAAACACAATTGCACTCGCACAAGCAAGGCACGCACAGCAGCACACCTCGCGGAGCAGCACATTGGAGGCCTTGAAGTCGCGGCGCACGTAGTTGTGGCTGTGCATCACCTGCAGCGCCTGTGCTTTGCTCTTTGAAAGGCCTCTCCTCCCCCTTCCACTCCCGCAGCACGGGCTCCCCCGCAACACACTACCCAGAGCACAGCACCTCTCAAACCAACACACCTCACGCAGCAGCACGTTGGAGGCCTTGAAGTCGCGGTGCACGTAGTTGTGGCTGTGCATCACCTGCAGCGCCTCCGCACACATCAGAGCCACCCGCAGCCGCGCCTTCCAGGAAAACTCCACCTTGCCTTGCACAGCTGATGGCCGTGGATGCGGGAAGGGAGGGGGGTTGGGGTGTGTGTGGGGAGGAAGGGGAGGGTTGAGGGGAAGTGCATCCATAGGAGCTTCCCTTTGCATTGCACTGCAAATAACTGGACAATAGGACGGAACAAAAGGGGAGTGGGGCGGAAGGTGTGTGTGGGGGGGGAGGGGGGGGGGGGGGGAGAAGCAGCCATACCCTTTCTGAGGTATGCCTCGGCATTGCTTTGGTGAAAAATGCGTAGACAAGGGCGTTCGTGGGGAGATTTTTTAGTCGAGTAAAGAATTGACTTGTTGTGTGAGGGAAAAGGGCATACCTTTTCTGAGGTACGCCTCGGCATTGCCATTGGTGATAAACTCGTAGATGAGCGCGGGCGTGGGCTTGGCCACAAAACCAAACAGCGACAGGATGGTGGGATGTTTCAGCTGCTCCATTGCCATCAGCTCCGCCTGATGGATGCGCAGAGAGAGAAAGCGGGAAGAACGAGGGGAAGGATGTGCGGGTGTTGCGCAACGAGAGTGAGGGCAATGGGCACACAGTGACGGGCTGTTGGGGTGCGACAGCTGCTCCATTGCCAGCAGATCCGCCTGATGGATGCGCAGAGAGAGAAAGGGGGGCGAAAAGGCGGGTGAGACAGGGGGGAGGAGAGTGAGATAAGGGAGAGTGAGCGGGGGGGAGAGTGAGACAGGGGAGAGGAGAGATAAGGGAGAGTGAGCGGGGGGGAGAGTGAGACAGGGGAGAGGAGAGATAAGGGAGAGTGAGCGGGGGGGAGAGTGAGACAGGGGAGAGGAGAGATAAGGGAGAGTGAGCGGGGGGAGAGTGAGACAGGGGAGAGGAGAGATAAGGGAGAGTGAGCGGGGGGGAGAGTGAGACAGGGGAGAGGAGAGATAAGGGAGAGTGAGCGGGGGGGAGAGTGAGACAGGGGAGAGGAGAGATAAGGGAGAGTGAGCGGGGGGGAGAGTGAGACAGGGGAGAGGAGAGATAAGGGAGAGTGAGCGGGGGGGAGAGTGAGACAGGGGAGAGGAGAGATAAGGGAGAGTGAGCGGGGGGAGAGTGAGACAGGGGAGAGGAGAGATAAGGGAGAGTGAGCGGGGGGGAGAGTGAGACAGGGGAGAGGAGAGATAAGGGAGAGTGAGCGGGGGGGAGAGTGAGACAGGGGAGAGGAGAGATAAGGGAGAGTGAGCGGGGGGGAGAGTGAGACAGGGGAGAGGAGAGATAAGGGAGAGTGAGCGGGGGGGAGAGTGAGACAGGGGAGAGGAGAGATAAGGGAGAGTGAGCGGGGGGGAGAGTGAGACAGGGGAGAGGAGAGATAAGGGAGAGTGAGCGGGGGGGAGAGTGAGACAGGGGAGAGGAGAGATAAGGGAGAGTGAGCGGGGGGGAGAGTGAGACAGGGGAGAGGAGAGATAAGGGAGAGTGAGCGGGGGGGAGAGTGAGACAGGGGAGAGGAGAGATAAGGGAGAGTGAGCGGGGGGGAGAGTGAGACAGGGGAGAGGAGAGATAAGGGAGAGTGAGCGGGGGGGAGAGTGAGACAGGGGAGAGGAGAGATAAGGGAGAGTGAGCGGGGGGGAGAGTGAGACAGGGGAGAGGAGAGATAAGGGAGAGTGAGCGGGGGGGAGAGTGAGACAGGGGAGAGGAGAGATAAGGGAGAGTGAGCGGGGGGGAGAGTGAGACAGGGGAGAGGAGAGATAAGGGAGAGTGAGCGGGGGGGAGAGTGAGACAGGGGAGAGGAGAGATAAGGGAGAGTGAGCGGGGGGGAGAGTGAGACAGGGGAGAGGAGAGATAAGGGAGAGTGAGCGGGGGGGAGAGTGAGACAGGGGAGAGGAGAGATAAGGGAGAGTGAGCGGGGGGGAGAGTGAGACAGGGGAGAGGAGAGATAAGGGAGAGTGAGCGGGGGGGAGAGTGAGACAGGGGAGAGGAGAGATAAGGGAGAGTGAGCGGGGGGGAGAGTGAGACAGGGGAGAGGAGAGATAAGGGAGAGTGAGCGGGGGGGAGAGTGAGACAGGGGAGAGGAGAGATAAGGGAGAGTGAGCGGGGGGGAGAGTGAGACAGGGGAGAGGAGAGATAAGGGAGAGTGAGCGGGGGGGAGAGTGAGACAGGGGAGAGGAGAGATAAGGGAGAGTGAGCGGGGGGGAGAGTGAGACAGGGGAGAGGAGAGATAAGGGAGAGTGAGCGGGGGGGAGAGTGAGACAGGGGAGAGGAGAGATAAGGGAGAGTGAGCGGGGGGGAGAGTGAGACAGGGGAGAGGAGAGATAAGGGAGAGTGAGCGGGGGGAGAGTGAGACAGGGGAGAGGAGAGATAAGGGAGAGTGAGCGGGGGGGAGAGTGAGACAGGGGAGAGGAGAGATAAGGGAGAGTGAGCGGGGGGAGAGTGAGACAGGGGAGAGGAGAGATAAGGGAGAGTGAGCGGGGGGGAGAGTGAGACAGGGGAGAGGAGAGATAAGGGAGAGTGAGCGGGGGGGAGAGTGAGACAGGGGAGAGGAGAGATAAGGGAGAGTGAGCGGGGGGAGAGTGAGACAGGGGAGAGGAGAGATAAGGGAGAGTGAGCGGGGGGGAGAGTGAGACAGGGGAGAGGAGAGATAAGGGAGAGTGAGCGGGGGGGAGAGTGAGACAGGGGAGAGGAGAGATAAGGGAGAGTGAGCGGGGGGGAGAGTGAGACAGGGGAGAGGAGAGATAAGGGAGAGTGAGCGGGGGGGAGAGTGAGACAGGGGAGAGGAGAGATAAGGGAGAGTGAGCGGGGGGGAGAGTGAGACAGGGGAGAGGAGAGATAAGGGAGAGTGAGCGGGGGGAGAGTGAGACAGGGGAGAGGAGAGATAAGGGAGAGTGAGCGGGGGGGAGAGTGAGACAGGGGAGAGGAGAGATAAGGGAGAGTGAGCGGGGGGGAGAGTGAGACAGGGGAGAGGAGAGATAAGGGAGAGTGAGCGGGGGGAGAGTGAGACAGGGGAGAGGAGAGATAAGGGAGAGTGAGCGGGGGGGAGAGTGAGACAGGGGAGAGGAGAGATAAGGGAGAGTGAGCGGGGGGGAGAGTGAGACAGGGGAGAGGAGAGATAAGGGAGAGTGAGCGGGGGGGAGAGTGAGACAGGGGAGAGGAGAGATAAGGGAGAGTGAGCGGGGGGGAGAGTGAGACAGGGGAGAGGAGAGATAAGGGAGAGTGAGCGGGGGGGAGAGTGAGACAGGGGAGAGGAGAGATAAGGGAGAGTGAGCGGGGGGGAGAGTGAGACAGGGGAGAGGAGAGATAAGGGAGAGTGAGCGGGGGGGAGAGTGAGACAGGGGAGAGGAGAGATAAGGGAGAGTGAGCGGGGGGAGAGTGAGACAGGGGAGAGGAGAGATAAGGGAGAGTGAGCGGGGGGGAGAGTGAGACAGGGGAGAGGAGAGATAAGGGAGAGTGAGCGGGGGGGAGAGTGAGACAGGGGAGAGGAGAGATAAGGGAGAGTGAGCGGGGGGGAGAGTGAGACAGGGGAGAGGAGAGATAAGGGAGAGTGAGCGGGGGGAGAGTGAGACAGGGGAGAGGAGAGATAAGGGAGAGTGAGCGGGGGGGAGAGTGAGACAGGGGAGAGAGAGATAAGGGAGAGTGAGCGGGGGGGAGAGTGAGACAGGGGAGAGGAGAGATAAGGGAGAGTGAGCGGGGGGGAGAGTGAGACAGGGGAGAGGAGAGATAAGGGAGAGTGAGCGGGGGGGAGAGTGAGACAGGGGAGAGGAGAGATAAGGGAGAGTGAGCGGGGGGGAGAGTGAGACAGGGGAGAGGAGAGATAAGGGAGAGTGAGCGGGGGGGAGAGTGAGACAGGGGAGAGGAGAGATAAGGGAGAGTGAGCGGGGGGGAGAGTGAGACAGGGGAGAGGAGAGATAAGGGAGAGTGAGCGGGGGGGAGAGTGAGACAGGGGAGAGGAGAGATAAGGGAGAGTGAGCGGGGGGGAGAGTGAGACAGGGGAGAGGAGAGATAAGGGAGAGTGAGCGGGGGGGAGAGTGAGACAGGGGAGAGGAGAGATAAGGGAGAGTGAGCGGGGGGGAGAGTGAGACAGGGGAGAGGAGAGATAAGGGAGAGTGAGCGGGGGGGAGAGTGAGACAGGGGAGAGGAGAGATAAGGGAGAGTGAGCGGGGGGGAGAGTGAGACAGGGGAGAGGAGAGATAAGGGAGAGTGAGCGGGGGGGAGAGTGAGACAGGGGAGAGGAGAGATAAGGGAGAGTGAGCGGGGGGGAGAGTGAGACAGGGGAGAGGAGAGATAAGGGAGAGTGAGCGGGGGGGAGAGTGAGACAGGGGAGAGGAGAGATAAGGGAGAGTGAGCGGGGGGGAGAGTGAGACAGGGGAGAGGAGAGATAAGGGAGAGTGAGCGGGGGGGAGAGTGAGACAGGGGAGAGGAGAGATAAGGGAGAGTGAGCGGGGGGGAGAGTGAGACAGGGGAGAGGAGAGATAAGGGAGAGTGAGCGGGGGGGAGAGTGAGACAGGGGAGAGGAGAGATAAGGGAGAGTGAGCGGGGGGGAGAGTGAGACAGGGGAGAGGAGAGATAAGGGAGAGTGAGCGGGGGGGAGAGTGAGACAGGGGAGAGGAGAGATAAGGGAGAGTGAGCGGGGGGGAGAGTGAGACAGGGGAGAGGAGAGATAAGGGAGAGTGAGCGGGGGGGAGAGTGAGACAGGGGAGAGGAGAGATAAGGGAGAGTGAGCGGGGGGAGAGTGAGACAGGGGAGAGGAGAGATAAGGGAGAGTGAGCGGGGGGGAGAGTGAGACAGGGGAGAGGAGAGATAAGGGAGAGTGAGCGGGGGGAGAGTGAGACAGGGGAGAGGAGAGATAAGGGAGAGTGAGCGGGGGGGAGAGTGAGACAGGGGAGAGGAGAGATAAGGGAGAGTGAGCGGGGGGGAGAGTGAGACAGGGGAGAGGAGAGATAAGGGAGAGTGAGCGGGGGGAGAGTGAGACAGGGGAGAGGAGAGATAAGGGAGAGTGAGCGGGGGGGAGAGTGAGACAGGGGAGAGGAGAGATAAGGGAGAGTGAGCGGGGGGAGAGTGAGACAGGGGAGAGGAGAGATAAGGGAGAGTGAGCGGGGGGGAGAGTGAGACAGGGAGAGGAGAGATAAGGGAGAGTGAGCGGGGGGGAGAGTGAGACAGGGGAGAGGAGAGATAAGGGAGAGTGAGCGGGGGGAGAGTGAGACAGGGGAGAGGAGAGATAAGGGAGAGTGAGCGGGGGGGGAGTGAGACAGGGGAGAGGAGAGATAAGGGAGAGTGAGCGGGGGGGAGAGTGAGACAGGGGAGAGGAGAGATAAGGGAGAGTGAGCGGGGGGGAGAGTGAGACAGGGGAGAGGAGAGATAAGGGAGAGTGAGCGGGGGGGAGAGTGAGACAGGGGAGAGGAGAGATAAGGGAGAGTGAGCGGGGGGGAGAGTGAGACAGGGGAGAGGAGAGATAAGGGAGAGTGAGCGGGGGGGAGAGTGAGACAGGGGAGAGGAGAGATAAGGGAGAGTGAGCGGGGGGGAGAGTGAGACAGGGGAGAGGAGAGATAAGGGAGAGTGAGCGGGGGGAGAGTGAGACAGGGGAGAGGAGAGATAAGGGAGAGTGAGCGGGGGGGAGAGTGAGACAGGGAGAGGAGAGATAAGGGAGAGTGAGCGGGGGGAGAGTGAGACAGGGGAGAGGAGAGATAAGGGAGAGTGAGCGGGGGGGGAGAGTGAGACAGGGGAGAGGAGAGATAAGGGAGAGTGAGCGGGGGGGAGAGTGAGACAGGGGAGAGGAGAGATAAGGGAGAGTGAGCGGGGGGGAGAGTGAGACAGGGGAGAGGAGAGATAAGGGAGAGTGAGCGGGGGGGAGAGTGAGACAGGGGAGAGGAGAGATAAGGGAGAGTGAGCGGGGGGGAGAGTGAGACAGGGGAGAGGAGAGATAAGGGAGAGTGAGCGGGGGGGAGAGTGAGACAGGGGAGAGGAGAGATAAGGGAGAGTGAGCGGGGGGGAGAGTGAGACAGGGGAGAGGAGAGATAAGGGAGAGTGAGCGGGGGGAGAGTGAGACAGGGGAGAGGAGAGATAAGGGAGAGTGAGCGGGGGGGAGAGTGAGACAGGGGAGAGGAGAGATAAGGGAGAGTGAGCGGGGGGGAGAGTGAGACAGGGGAGAGGAGAGATAAGGGAGAGTGAGCGGGGGGGAGAGTGAGACAGGGGAGAGGAGAGATAAGGGAGAGTGAGCGGGGGGGAGAGTGAGACAGGGGAGAGGAGAGATAAGGGAGAGTGAGCGGGGGGGAGAGTGAGACAGGGGAGAGGAGAGATAAGGGAGAGTGAGCGGGGGGGAGAGTGAGACAGGGGAGAGGAGAGATAAGGGAGAGTGAGCGGGGGGGAGAGTGAGACAGGGGAGAGGAGAGATAAGGGAGAGTGAGCGGGGGGGAGAGTGAGACAGGGGAGAGGAGAGATAAGGGAGAGTGAGCGGGGGGGAGAGTGAGACAGGGGAGAGGAGAGATAAGGGAGAGTGAGCGGGGGGGAGAGTGAGACAGGGGAGAGGAGAGATAAGGGAGAGTGAGCGGGGGGGAGAGTGAGACAGGGGAGAGGAGAGATAAGGGAGAGTGAGCGGGGGGGAGAGTGAGACAGGGGAGAGGAGAGATAAGGGAGAGTGAGCGGGGGGGAGAGTGAGACAGGGAGAGGAGAGAGAGAGTAAGGGAGAGTGAGCGGGGGGGGAGAGTGAGACAGGGGAGAGGAGAGTGAGATAAGGAAGAGTGAGACAAGGGAGAGTGGGATTGGGGAGAGAGAGACGAGGAAGAGTGGGAGAAGGGGCAAAAAAGGCATAGAACGACAGGACGTTGGTCACACAACAGCTGCTCCATCACCAATAGCTCCGCCTATCAAGCAAAACGATGGGGGCAGGCGGTCTTAGGGAGTGTGGGGAGAGGGGGTTGCGGGGAAGGGCTGTGAGAGGGTAGCATGGGGGGGATGGAGGGGAGCAGAGAGTGGCGGGAGGTGGTTGTGCCACAGCTGCACCATTGCCATCAGCTCCGCATGTGAAGGGAGCAGAGGGAGAACGTGGGGGAGGAGGTGCGAGGGATGGGGGGAGGAAGGGTGGGGAGAGGGGGGTCGAGGGTTCCATGTTATTACTGTAATCATACGCTCCTTCTCTCTTGACCTCCTCCTCCTCTCCCCAGCCCTCCCCTCTCTCCAGCCCTCCCCTCTCCTCTTTCCCCCTAAACTCCACCTTCGCCCTCTTCACGCACACGCACTTTTGATCCTACAGAAGCGAAGCGTCAGTGACGCCTGTTCCTCTCACCCCCACACCAACATGAAAGTGCGCATTGTCTGTATGAGTGTTCTCAGTCGACCCCCTACTCTACCTACCCACAGATCCACTTTTGAGACGTCTCAGAAACCGACGACTTTTGAGACGTCCCAAAAACCGAAGCGTCAGTGACGCCTGTTTCTCTCACCCCACACCGGCATGAAAGTGCGCATTGTCTGCATGTGTGTTCTCAGTTGACTCCCTACTCTACCCACGGAGCCACAAAGCCTGCTCACACAGACAGTGAACACTCATCGCTCCTAAACCCCACTCACATGGAACTGCTCGTCATCTTGAAGCTCCACATCCTCGTTATTAACACCTTCACTTCCTGTGAGAAGTCTATATTTGAGGCGCCTCAATAATACAAAGCTCACTCACGTGGAACTGCTCGTCGTCTTTGAGTTCCACATCCTGGGTATCCAGCACTTTCACCGCCACTACCTTTTGAGGCGCCTAGAAACCGAGTTGACTTTTGGAGTCGACTCAAAAGTGAATGAGGTGCCTACAAAAATCCCACTCACATGGAACTGCTCGTCGTCTTTAAGCTCCACATCCTGGTTATCCAACACCTTCACCGCCTGTGAGGAGTGTATTTTTGAGGGGTCTCAAAGACAATCACATGGAACTGCTCGTCATCTTTAAGCTCGACATCCTGGTTATCCAGCACTTTCACCGCCACTACCTTTTGAGGCGCCTAGAAACCGAGTTGACTTTGAGAGTCGACTCAAACGTCAATGAGCTGCCTAAAAGATCCCACTCACGTGGAATTGCTCGTCATCTTTAAGCTCGACATCCTGGTTATCCAACACTTTCACCGCCACTGCCACCAGAACCTGCTCCGCCGCTGCCGCCCCTCCTCCTCCTCCCCCATCCGCTCCACCCCTTCACCACCACCGCCACCAGTTGCTGCAGCTGCTGCGGTAGGGTCCTGCAGGTAGCCCTTGTACACGACCCCGAAACCCCCTGGCCGATGGGCTTCTTGAGCTTGTCGGTCATCAGCATCATCTCATCGTATGAATATTCTGGGAATCCCGCCCCCACCAGCTTCTTCACCGGGTAATTTGACGTCTCTGGGGATGAAAACGGACGGGGGAGGGGGAAGTGGAGGGCAAATGGGGGGAAGGGGAATGGGCAAGCGGCGGTGGGGGGGAAAGGGAGTGAAGGGAGAGGAGAAAAAGGGGGCCCTGTCCTGCCGGTAGCCCTTGTACACGACCCCGAACCCCCCCTGGCCGATGGGCTTCTTGAGCTTGTCGGTGATGAGCATCATCTCATCGTATGTGTAATCCGGGAATCCCGCCCCGACTGGCTTCTTCACCTGGTAATTTGTCGTTTCTGGGGATGAAAATGGAGGGGGGACCGGGGGATGGAGGAGAACGGGGGGAATGATGGGAAGGGAAAAAAAAATGGGGGGATGGGAAGGGGGAGAGCGGAAAGGAGGTGAGGAGGGGAGGGGGGGGGGGGGGGGGGGAGACGGGTGAAGTGTTAGAGAGCGGGCGGAGGGGAGCATTGGAAGGGGAGGACGGAAGGGAAGGAAATTAGAGAGGAAAGCTGGACGGCGAGAAACATGCAGGTGGACAAAGAATCATTAAAAATGGAATCGCAAATGGAAGAGGCATGGAGAACTGTTGCAGGAACGACGCCTGAGGAAATCGCGTTGTGTAGAACGTGAGAACGGGCAGGCGGGGACAGGAAGGAATGGAATCGGAGCGAAGTTGAAGGCAGGACGAATGGAGACGGCGAGCAACCAAGGGGAGATTTTTGAGGCGCCTCAAAAATCACGAATTGAGACGGCGAGCAACGAAGGGGAGGGGAACGATCGGAAGAAGGGGCAGCGAGGGGGTGGAGGAGAACGGGAGGCGACGACAAGCAGCACAAACGCAAAACCTGATGCGGAATGTGGCGAGCCAGGATTCCGGTTCAATGATTATTCAACGCATTGACTTTAATGGACTCTGCAGGACACAGGCGATCCGAGCTCCTCTCTGTACGTACTCGCATCGCTGCTGGGCTGCGACAAGCAACCCCCCATGGGGAGGGCCTTCGCTCAGAAACGCTTTCTCGAACTTCGAGGAATGCAGCCTAGAGGCCCTTCGCTCTGAGACGCCTCCTCTTTTTAAGCTACGAGGAATGCTTTCTGCAGGCACGCACGCCGCTCGCGTCAAACAAACGACAAAGCGAGCTGTTGTGACGTTAGCGGCTCTACTGGTCTCTGATGTTTGCAGCTCTACTGTTTAATTGGTGTGTGGCGCTTCGAAGTGGAGAGATAATATTACGTCAGCTACTGACTATAAGCCACCTCTCGCGGAAAAAAAGATGGAAAAACTTCCCACTCGCTGCGAAACGAGGGGTCGACTGCGTGTACCGTTCATAGAACGTCAAACTCCTGCATTTTTCCCTAGCGCCAAAAACCTACTTACTTAGTTAGAACGGCAAGCAATGTGCCTGCTCATGCTAAGCATGCTAACCGTAAAAAAAACTTGTATGGGCAACGGCAAAGAACGTCACACTAATGCATTCGCCGAACACGCCGTAACAATCAAGAATAAAGCGATAAATAGGTCGCGCAATGGCACAGCACTGCTGAGGCAGTCCATGATTGATGGGGCTGCTCTGCTTCTATTGAGTGAACATGGAACTTGTCGGATATTATCGAGGTTCGAACCTTGACGCAACCATCCGTATTCAGAACGATTCGGTAGGGTTTCGCGCAAGGATGAGAATATGCTCTTCCAGCCAGGCCTCATGGTTGACGAGGCGGAGGGGGATTGGTTTGGGATGACATCGAAGGAGCAACAATCCTTGACCACGCTGAACATCGCACAACTGCACAATGGGTACAACAGATGAAGCAAACACTACATTTCTCAAAAGCTAAACCACAACTCAGTTGTGGAACCCATTTCACCCGATCAGCATTGAGCAATCACGATGATCCATTTTCGTGAGATTCGTGGTCACTTTTAGGCTCATCAACAGGTACCGATACTGGTAGTTTGATTGCCACTTTCAGTACTTCCAAAACCTCCTCCATGGTTGGACGATCAGCCCAGTCCCTGGCTGTACACTGCTTGGCAATTATCGCGATGGCACTCGCTTCCGTCTTGTTTGCTTCATTGATAATTGCAAGGTCCATCATATCCGCAGCGCTGGGAGCATCCGCCTCGTACAACCACGCCTTAATATCTTCAGCGAAACCTTGTCGAAGCACTGACTTGCCCGCGAGAATCTCAACCATGAACAGACCGAAAGCGAACACGTCACTTTTGTCACACAAATGACCTGATATTGATACAAGGGCATACATGCATACATAACATGTGCACGGGGCATGAGACGCATAACAAGGGGAACCACATGCACACAAGCAGGCAGTTTAGTCAAGATTATATAGAAAGATATTATGTGAAGCCATTTCAGCTACATGTCAGCTACATGTCCCAACTCACCTGACTCAAAGTATGTGGGATCAATGTATCCCATGGAGCCCATGACTCGTGTTGTGACATGCGTTTTCCAGTCCTCTATGCCCTTGGCAAGACCGAAATCGGCCACCTTCGGTGTGAAGTCCTGTGATAAGGGAACCACGGGGAAATGGAAGCGGAGGAGGAACGCTGGGGCCAGATTAACCCCGCAGTGGGGCAGAAAAGGGGATGACAGAACAGACCACAGAAGCAATGTCACATAACAGGGTAGCCACAGGCACAATCAAGACTGATTATGCATTGCTGTGATGGAAGAGGGAGGGTGATGCAGGGGGGACAAAAGAGGACAGGAATGCTTACTTCCGTTAGAAGCACATTGCTGGACTTGAAGTCCCGGTGAATGTACCGCTGTTTGTGAATGAACGTCAGCGCCTCTGCTGTTCCCATTATCACTTTCATCCGATCAGCCCAGGAAAACTTTGCCTTGCCTTCCGAACCTGGGCCGGAAAGAGGGAACCATGAAAAGGTGAAGGCAGGGCAAGAGATTTGTATGTTGAATGTCACAGAGTTTGATCGTCATATTCCTCTAGCTTTTGCAATGGTACACCAAGATACATAGAAATAATCTCACCTTGTGCGCAAGCAGCTCATGCACCACGCTTTAATTTCCCTCCCAAAACACTTCTTCCACGCACATACGCACATTTTGCAAGCCATGCATCGACATCGCCCATGGGGATGTACTCGTAAACCAGCGCCTTGACCTTCTCTGTGCAGCACGCCAGCAGCCTCACAATGTTGGGGTGTTGCACGCCCTCCACTGTAGTGATCTCATTCTGTATCGGGTACGCAAAGAGCCACACGGAATTGAGAAATGAATCAGCTGGGAACAATCTCCTCATAACCTCTGAACACAGTATCCATCCAGCCCAGGGCAAGCCTCACATTCTAAGCTGAACAAATTATCCCTGTAACGTGCAAGACTTAACTTAAAGCAGAGCACATTATGATGTAGCCTACAAGCCCGCACTGCTAGTTGAAGACACTATTCCTGCAGCCAAGAAACCCTACGTTACTTGCTGAACACATTATCCTTGTAGCCTACAAGCCTCACATTACCACTTGAACACACTATCATTCAAGCCTGCAAGCACCGCTTCATAACTGAACACATTACCCATAAACCTGCAAGCCCCAGGTCCATTCCCCTTCCCCGGCTTTCAAGCGCGCATCCTTCCAGACGCTAATCCTTCTAGACCATTTGAAGCTGATAAGAACGTGAAGCTGACAGGTATGAGCCACTCACCAGAAACTCGTCCATTCCTTGGAAACTGTGAGGAGCCAGAACTTTGACCGCGACGAAAGTCGCATCCTCGTCGGCGTCCCCGTTAACGCCGCGCAACCGGCCCTTGTACACCTTACCAAACCCCCCTTCACCGAGGACGTCGGAAAAGTTTTCCGTGGCTCGCTTGATGTCATCGTAGGTGAGGAATTTCACAGAAGACTCGTTACCGTCTTCTACCGATGATTTCGCAGTTGAGAGAGAAGGCAGTGGCTTGGAGTCTGTAACGAAACGGCAGTGCGAGTAGAAACGAAACGGGGGAATGGCGCTTGTGGATTATACAAAGCATTCCTCAACTCAAGCATTCTCACTTTGAAAATGATGTGATGGGGTTTGGAACAACAAGGGGTACAATTGAAAGAAACTAGCACGCAAGTTCAAGATTAATCCGAATGACTTACTTCGTGATATTGGGATGCTATTCCCGCTTGGTTTTGAGTTGAAGCAACCCATGTCACACAAAAAAAAGGGCGACTGGATAGCAGTATCCAAATTACTACTATGTTAGCAACGGTTAACTCGTGCAACTTCCAGCATTGCAATGTACATTGCCAGTTCTGCCTTTGACTGGCAACTAAAACTACACAGCACCAGGAACAGAGTAACACTAAAAAGAGAAAAGGTACTACATTCTCAAGTAAAAAGCCACTCTTCGTAATCTGTAAAATATGGCCTCCCAGCTCCTAAGTAGCACAATCGGTCCGCAAGACTGATTCACTAGTTACAGTGAAACCTAAAGACGAAGAGACACGCTCGGCGCGTGTCACGTCCAAGGCTTCCTAGAGAGGAACGCCGGGAGAGCCGTCGGACAAGCAGGGTTGCCGTGCTGAACCACTCTGCTAGGTTACTCAACTTTTTGTCTCCTAACCTAGTAGAACCCACGTGTTCAGGCGTGCGAAGGTTCCAGTAATCACAGTCGCTTGAAATTGAACCTCCAACAACCAGCAGGCCGTCTTCTTGGGAATTGCGTGGCTGGTGTTGACGACAACTCGAGTGGGAAGGGAAGCAGCATAGCTCACCCTACTGGCTCACCCTACAGACTCACCCCACTGGCTCACCCTACAGACTCACCCTGCTGTTCGCCCAGCGTGTTGACATTTTACCGTCCCTGTGTGCTCAATAACGGGTCTAAACGCAGCCCTTATATTTGCATGTTGAAATTACAATATGAATGTCTTGCAAGAAAAAACTGTGCTAGATAATTATGTTAAAACTGTATTTTTACAATTTTCATATACTTTTTTGTAACTTATCGTACTTTAGGTTCACAAATAGGGGGAAATCGGGCATTCTACTAGATTCTGTAAAATTGCATTTAATAAAGTTAAACACGGTGCCGAGTCACATTATTCGAGCATCAGTTGACCCCAGCGGAGGTCATCCATTTTCCCAAGGCGCCAACTACAGCTAAAATTACAGGTGGGAGTTCTTACACCGGGCGTGACAATTCTGCGGCTCGTTTTAACGAATGTCATTCTTCCCTCTCAGCCTCTACAGTACAACCAGCAGCTGTTGCGTTTCTTATCCCAACCCTCCTGCCCATACTCCAAACAAATGGCTATGATGCTATAGATTCGTCCAACCAGCCATGGCGGTGGCCTGGAATCGTAATTTCTCTTCTGTCGAACTGGCGTGAAGCTTGCGGATGTAACATTATTTCCAATCTTGGTACTTGTTTGAGCATTTGCGCTTGCGTCTGCTAGCATCCTGCCAGGTCATTCGACCCTACTCTCCTTGGCAAGGAACTGCATCCCAGGATTAAAGCTTCGTCAGATTTTTCAACATCCAGTCTTCAATCATGCAGTCGTTTTGGAGAGCTCGAAAGATCGACGAGGTGACGTCAGATGACGATAAGATCGCTCCCGTGTATCGCCTGGACGAGATATGCTCGGACGTGCAGTCGAGTGCATCTGAGGTGGTGAAGGAGGTGGTTGATTATATCATGCAGCGCCTCAACCACTCCTCGCCCTTTGTCAAACAAAAGGTGGGAGAAGTAGCAACTGTGGATAACTCAAGAGTAATCATGTTGTAGTTGTCCAACCGACCTTAGAGTCTGTGCTTGATCGTTTGAACGCTTCGACCAGAAATTGACAACACTGTTCACCCTTCTTTAGTAGTTGTTACCCCGTAGCGAGCTTTGGCTCGTGGTTCTGGCATTTCAGTAGATTTTTGGGACAGAAGTTAAAAGGCCATGTATTAGTTTGTCGTTATTCCCGCGATTTGTTCCATTTAGGATTCTGCTAATAAGGTGACTGAAATTTGTTCACTTTCCCCTATGGCGCGCAATTGCGGTTGTAATGACATTCACCCTGCTGTCTGGTGTTAGCCGTCACCCGCCGTCCGGCTCTTCTCTTCCCCTCCCCCCCTCTTCCCCCTGCTGTCCCTCTTCACTTCAGCTCGCCTCCCGTCCCTTCATCTCGCCGCTTCTCCCATCATCTCGCCTCCCATCCCTTCATCTCGCCTCCCATCCCTTCATCTCGCCTCCCATCCCTTCATCTCGCCTCCCATCCCTTCATCTCGCCTCCCATCCCTTCATCTCGCCTCCCATCCCTTCATCTCGCCTCCCATCCCTTCATCTCGCCTCCCATCCCTTCATCTCGCCTCCCATCCCTTCATCTCGCCTCCCATCCCTTCATCTCGCCTCCCATCCCTTCATCTCGCCTCCCATCCCTTCATCTCGCCTCCCATCCCTTCATCTCGCCTCTCGTCCCTTCATCTCGTCTTCATCTCTTCCCCCTTCCCATCACCTCGCCTCCCCAGGCCCTGCGGCTGATAAAGTACACGGTGTCGCGGGCAGGCACGGAGTTCCGGCGCAGCATACAGCGCCACTCCGCCACCATCAAGGGCATGGTGCACTATCGCGGACAGCCGGATCCGTTAAGAGGCGACGCGCCAAACAAGGCGGTCCGGGAGGCGGCGCAGGAGGCGGTACAGGCGATCTTCAACCCTCAGAACGACGTCAAGCCCGGCGCAGGCGCCATGGGGGTCGTTGGTGCCGGCGGTGGTGCGTCTACCGGAGGTGGCTATAACGGGTATGGGCCCAGTGGCGGGATGGAAGGCGGGCGGCGTCGCATGGAGGGATTCGGAAGCACCCCAGCGAGGGGAGACGGGGGTGCTGGGGGCGGCGGAGGGGGAAGGGGCGGCGGAGGAGGAGGCGGAGCAGGGGGAATCGGCGCTGTGTTGGGTGTGAGTAGTGAGTCGATCCGGCAGGGGATTAGCAAGCTTGCGGGCGTGGTGGGGCAAGGAGCAGGAGGCTCCGCGCGGGGGAAGGCGGGCGGGGGGGAGTTTGAAGAGGCAGCAGGTGGGGGGAGCTACGTTGGGCCGCGGTTGGACTCGGTGGGGGGCGGTGGGGATGCTTATGGGTATGGAGGCAGCGGGTATGGAAGCAGCGGGTATGGAGGCAGTGGGTACGGGCACGGAGGCGGTTCGTCTGTTGCGTCTAAGTACGTGGGGTTTGACCGGCAGGGACGCACGTTCGACGCGTCTACTAACTCGTACTCGCCTGCTGCGCCGCCTGCGGGTTACTCTGGGGCGGGGAGGGACAGAGAGTATGGGTCGGACCGAGGGTACAGAGCAGGGGGGGGTTATGGTGGTGGGGGGGGGGGGGATATGGAGGAGGGGGGTGCGGAAGAGGACAGGGCAGGAGGGTGGGGCGACGGGGGGCAGCAAGGGGAGGGACGCACTGAGGCGAGCGCATGGGGAGGGGCGTCTGGGTCTGGGGACGGGATGGGGGGAGGAGGGGGCGGAGCAGGCGGAGGAGGGGGCGGAGCGAGCAGTGAGGAGGAGCGACTGGTGGAGGGCATGACTGGGGCGGGCGGGGTGCGGCTGCAGCCGACGCGCGAGGCCCTGAGGGGCTTCATTGCGAGTCTGCCGAAGCTGAACGCGGGCGTTGTGGCCCAGGCGCTGGAGGCCCGCCTGCTCAGCAACCTGTGGCAGGTGAGCGCTGCTGCTGCTACTGGATTTGGTGGGCAGGAAGCGGTGGCAGGTGAGAGCTGCTGCTGCTGGTGCTTTGGGTGGCCTCGGAATGAGATGAGGTGAACGTGGGTGGCAGGCAGCTGAACGCGGGCGCCGTGGCCCAGGCGCTGGAGGCCCGCCTGCTCAGCAACCTGTGGCAGGTAAGCGCTGCTGCTGCTACTGCTGCGCCCTTCCCCCCCTCTCCCCCTCACAGACGCGTCTGAAGGCCATGTGAGTGGTGGAGGCTGTGGTGAGCCAGGAGGGCGATTCCCAGCATTAGCCTTTCACTCTCCCTCCGCCCCTTGCCCTCACTCTTCTTCCTCTCCCACCCCCCGTCCTTCCCCTCAACCCCAGACGCGGCTGAAGGCCATGTGTGTGGTGGAGGCAGTGGTGAGGCAGGAGGGACCCTGGCACTACTGTCATCACTCCCCTCCCATCCCTGCCCACCTCTCCCCCCCCTTTGTCCCCCTCCTTACAGACGCGGCTGAAGGCCATGTGTGTGGTGGAGGCAGTGGTGAGGCAGGAGGGACCCTGGCACTACTGTCATCACTCCCCTCCCATCCCTGCCCACCTCTCCCCCCCCTTTGTCCCCCTCCTTACAGACGCGGCTGAAGGCCATGTGTGTGGTGGAGGCGGTGGTGAGGCAGGAGGGCGAGCCTCAGTGCGACGCCATCTACGACTTTTTCGCTGACAACCCCCATGCGCTGCATGAGAACGTGGACTCGCCTCAGACGTCCCTCAAAGACAAGGCCAGACGGGTACGTTCCACCAGCCTAATCCACGTGTGTGACTGAGGGTATGGGAGCGACTATCCGGTTGACAAACCCCATGCACTGCATGAGAACGTGGACTCGCCTCAGACGTCCCTCAAAGACAAGGCCAGACGGGTACGTTCCACCAGCCTGATCCACGTGTGATAATCCCCATGAGTGAGGGTATGGGAGCGACTATCTGGCTGATAACCCCCATGCGCTGCATTCTTTAGGCGCCTCAAAACAGGAGGCGACTTTTGAGGCGCCTAAAAAAAACCACGTGTGTGAGTGAGGGTATGGGAGCGACTATCCGGCTGACAACCCCCATGCGCTGCATGAGAATGTGAGTTTGCCACAGACTTCGCTGCGAGACAAGGCCAAACAGGTATAGTGTCGATCTGTCCCAGCTTAACCCCGCCTTATTCAACCTTATCTCAACCTCACCTCACCTCACCCTATCCCAAGTAACCCTACTTGACTCCACCATACTTCGCTTTACCCTACCGTATCCCACCTTACCCCACCTGATCCACCTCTCTCTAACTTACACAACCTTATCCCACCTTACTCCACCTTAACCCACCTTATCCCACCTTACTCCACCTTACTGCACACAACCAGACTCTACTTCCGTCCCTCTCACCTCTCCCATGACAGGTGCTTGACCACCTGGGCCCCGGCACCTGCAAGACGGGCAGCCATCCCCCCAACCATCAGGCACCGCACTGCACATTGCCAAACTCCCTTATTCTCCCGCCCCACCTCTCCCATGCCAGGTGCTTGACCTCTTGGGTCTGCAGCACCAGCAAGGGGGGCAGCCATCCCCCCACACTCTGCCACCAGCAGCTGCAGCAGTTGTGCCTGACCTGATTGACGTGGGGGAGGGGGGCGAGGCGAGGCGGAGAGAGGAAATGGGAGAGGATCATGACACCGCACTGCACACAACCAGACTCTGTTGTACTCCCGTCCCTCCCACTTTCCCCATGCCAGGTGCTTGACCTCTTGGGCCTGGGGCACCAGCAAGGGGGGCAGCCTTCCCCCCACACACCACCACCCGCAGCTGCAGTTGTGCCTGACTTGATCGACGTGGGGGAGGGGGGCGAGACGGAGGGAGGGGAGGCAGGGGAGGGAAGAGGAACAGAGGTAGGGGCGATAGCGAGTGGCGATTCGTCCGGTTCGCAGGCGCCTGGTGTGACGGGATTAGATGACTTGCTAGGAGGGGGCAGCATGGACCCTTTCAGCACACTCGAGTCCACTCCTCCTCCTTCGTCTGCTCCTGCTACAGCCGCTACACCTACTACAGCTACTGCAGCTGTAGCTCAGGACCCGTTTGCTGGTCTCTCTGCTGACGTCACAGCACAAACGGCCGACCTCTTTCAAGGTCTGAGCGTCAACAGTGAAGGCGGTGATGCTGCTGCTGGTGCTGGTGGTGGTGGTGGTGGTGGTGGTGGAGGCGTAAAGGGGTGGATCTGTTTGCGGGTATGAGTGTGAACCAGCAGCAGCCGCAGTCCCAGCCGCAGCAGCAGCCGCAGACGCAGCCACTCTCTGCAGACCCAGTGAAACCAAAACCGCCGGCGCAGCAGTGGGCAACGGGGGGAGCGGGCATGCTAGGCACCCCCATGACCATGCCTGTTCCCATGGTGCCTGCATCAGCAGCAGCAGGGGGAGGAGGAGGAATGACCATGCCCATGGGCATGGGGATGGGGATGGGCATGGGGATGGGTGCAGCGGGGGGCATGCATCCAATGATGGTCCCCATGCCTATGATGGCTCCTGGGGGAGCCATGATGGCGGGTCATCCTGGCATGATGCCCATGCCCATGGGCATGAATATGGGAGCCATGGGCATGACCATGGGCATGGGTATGGGCATGGGCATGGGGATGGGGATGGGGATGGGAGTTGGGGGTCCAGGCATGGTTGGAGGGCCAGGTGGGATGGTGGGTGCTGCGAATGGAGGAGGGAGGGTGGGGGATGACTTTGATTTCTCGGGGGATCCCACACTGCGCCCGGTTCCTGCTAGTGCTTCCACCAAGGAGGACTCGCACGCTTTCGACTTTGTGTCGGTGAGTCCGATGGAGCTACTATGTGCCTCGAAGGGTGTTTCCCGGACCATGTTCCACGCCTCTCATTGCTGAGGCGCCTCAAAAGTTGTTTCCCAGACCATGTTCAATGCCTCTGATTGCTCTTCACGGCGTGTTCATTACTGCCATGCCCCACAGCACATCTCTCCAGTTTTGTGTTTCCTTTCCCCCATCCATCTCCCACTGCCCATCCTCCATCATCATTTCTATATGTCCATCCATCTCCCATGCACCTGCATGTGTATCCAGGAGCACATAGTGGCAGCCATGGGGACGAAGAAGGGGCCACCAGCTTCAGCCATGCGCTCGTCATAAGCAGCGGCTTTGCATGAATGAAAACCTCCTTTCTCCGAGCAGCGTTACTTTCAAAGTAGGAAAGAAGTCTCCAGAAGGCTTGGATTGGATTGGATTTCTGCTGTGGTAGCTGCAAATATTCACCGCATGCCAACTGGCTACTCTACGGTACTTGACAATGTCGCCATGTGAATCATGATACACCAATGTTGCAATCATGCCGCGCCATGCTGCAACTGTACCACTCACATGCCACAACATGCCATGCCACCACAACCATGCCATATATATGCTGCCCATGCTGCAGCTACCATGCTGATTGTGCAGTGACCTCCTGACGTGGCTCGATAGGATAGGCCTGAGGGTTTTTTGGTAGCTGGACAGGGTTACCGGTACCTATTTAAAGTTCCTACGAACTTACCAAGCAAACCTCTTGTCAGCCTGGCCTGGTAAGTGTAGCGAGGGTTTCGGGTTTTGGGAATTGTCAGTGTTGGCCTGACAAGGGGCCGTACGAACACGCCCTGATAGGTTGTCTCTACACCATATCCTGAAGCTGCAGCAGCAGTACCGCACGGTTTAGGCTAGACGTGCACAAAGTAGTCTGTGCAGACGTGCATGAGCAGCCTTGGGGGTAACAACAGCCTTTCTCAGTAAACGTTACAAGCATGCTCATAACAACACTGGTCTACAAGAACCGCCACGGCACGGCAGCAGCAGCATCTAGAACTGCATGCGGTGGGGCTTGTCTCCCGACGTGAGTGAGAAGCGCGCAGCGAGGTACTCCTTGAGCAGCGGCTCGCTGCCTACGGCCGCCAGGATCTTCTCGTCCACCGCTGCCTGGTCGTCCTTCCGCGCCTGCGACACCACCTTCTTCTCCTGCACAGCACATAGTAAGGGTTCGGGGTTGAAGGTGGGGTGGGGCAAGTTTAGAGTCGACTTAAATCTTCTCATCCACCGCCGCCTGGTCATCCTTCCGCGCCTGCAACACCACCTTCTCCTGCACATCCCCATGGTAGCGGTTGAGGCACACAGATGGTAGTGCTTCAAAGGGTAGTGATTGTCGAAAGGGGGGGGGGAGGTGGGGGGTTGGGGGGCGGCAAGGATCAGGGCGCGAGGAAGGGAGAGGGGGGAATAAGTGGGGACAGAAAGTGTTGAGTGGGAAGTGTGCACACTTCGCACATACCCTTTGTCTATGTCTGCCAGGACCACTGCAGCCTGTGACTGGAGTATTAGTGTCAGAGAGGAGTGGTTGCGGAAGGGGTGTGATGAGCATATGGCACGTTCTGAGTGAACCGTGCAGCAAAGAGCTCCTTGAACAACGACTGGTTGGTTGCGTAAGAAGTAAATGTTGCCTCGCCTCTGATCAAGGGCTTCTTGCCTACAGCTGCACAGATTCACAAATTCACTGCTGCCTAGCCACTATTTGTCAACGACAACCTTCCTTTTGCTGAAGAACGGTCCGTGGATTTCGAAGCCACAACAAGGACTCGAAGAACTCGCTTCCGCCCTTGACAACCCACCTTCTTCTCGGTCTCGAAGAACTCGCCCTCGCTCTTCTTCTCCTTCTTCTTCTGCTCGCCCGCGAAGTAGCCGTCGTCGAACTTGGCCACGTCAACGCCGCTCACGTCCACCTTGGTCGACGTGGCGATGACGTAGCGCTGGTTGACTCTCCTCAGGGGAACCCTGTTCACCTTGAAGGGACCTGGTAAAGCAAAGGACAGATGAGAGACGGGAAGCGTGTAGAAAATATGCGCAACGGCAAGAGGAGGGGGTGGAACGAAAGAAAAACTGCTTGGTTGGGAAAGTATAGTCAGGGCACACGAGGAAAACCAGAGGAGGGGAAAGCCTAAAGGAAGAAGAACGGGGGAGTATAAGTCACGAATACGTGAATCGTCGCGACGACTAGTCAGTCTGGCACATCAGAGCATGTTCCCGAAGAGGCCTCATAGATCTTGGTGGTTAGTAAATCGTCATGCGGCCGTAGCCGTCAAGAGTAGCAAATACTTATGATTAATCACCGGCCACATGCCCCACTTCACCAATACGTCGACGGAAACGGAGACGGAAACGAAAACACTTGGCTTGCTGGTAAACCAGGTAAGCCAAGTTCCGACAACATTAACCAGAATCGGTTGAACAGAACAAGGAACTGGGTCCAGAAAAAGATAACACACTGAAATATGATGACAAATTAACAGTATGAAGATCTCTCTCGCAAATTCGGGACCAGATTTGCCACCAAAATGACGTCTGTCGCTGAAACCTGGCCAGCAACAGTTACGACCCCGCCTGGTTACTACAGAGTTGGAAACTACCAAACTAAGCGATGCGGAAATATCTTGTCCACAGTCCCACTGTACCCATCCATAGCAGCGGCCTCATATCTTGGTGGTAGGATAATCGTCACATGGACTAAAGCCATAACGAGTAGCAAATGATGAGTTTAATCACCGGCCGGCTAGGAGTCACCAGAACCCACAACTCTACGGCTTTAAACGACGATATTCGCAGGATTAAGGAAAAGCAGCTCGAAATCTGTGGTGGCAGCCTCATCGATCTTGGTGGATAGTAAATCGTCATGTGGCCATGCCATCAAGAGTAGCAAATACTTCGTATAATCACCGGCTGCACCACCACCGTCCAACGAACTGGTCGGCCTCAACCCCAATGCTACCATTACTCCCCAACAGCCCTTCATCGTTTGCAGTATTTGAACGTGCACTCGACCCTCCGCAACTCGGTTTCGGAATGTCTTCCCCTCCGCAATCGCCAAGCCACGGCCGCCACGGTCGTAAGCCACGGTCTATCGTCGTTGCCAGGTGCCTAGAAACGTTGAGAGGTTGGAGGCGGACCATGGATCTAGAAACGTTTAGAAACGCCATGTATCGACAAGGCAAGCTGTCAAGCCAGAGCTAAATTGTAGCAGGTAGTCCGGATGAAACTGCTGCGCCGTGGATCAGTTACACTGCCAACCTACGCGAATCTGCTGATACTCCCTACATAACAACTACGGCGTGACGATCGAGCATCGGACAGCGCTGAAGCTACCGGAATGATCGCTACGATCTAAGCGTCTGCTTCGTGAAGCACTCGGTAAATTGAGAAAACACAGCGCTGTGACACGCTGGTGGGAGGCACCGAGAAGGGGTTAAACAGGTAAGAGTGGAGTCACGAGGAACAGGAAAGAGAACGACTCCTTTTGCAATGGCGTGAACTTACCAATGGAGGGGAGGATTCGAAATCAATTCGGAAGCTTACCAGTGACGAGCAGGAGGCCCGACTCGAGCTGCTTAAGGAAAACGACGCGCCTGCCCTTGTCGCGGCCAGCGAGGATGATCAGCACTGTGCCTGGGGTGATGCTCGCACTGCGATACAGGAGACGGGGAATAATGCCATTGGTTAAAGATGCAACGAGAATAGAGAAGGTAAGTGGCAATCGGACTCCCAACCCTAATTCATCAATCGTGCCGCGTGACTCGCGAAAAATGGAAATCCCGGAAGGATGAAGCGATACCCTCACGATTGCTGACGAGCTTGAGGGATAACTGGAACCAGAGCGAAACCCTAGCCTCGCGAACCACAGACGCAGCGCTTACCAGACCCTTACCGCAGCTTCGAGGGGCGATTAGCGCGTGCCCTCTTCAAGGGCTTCTTGACAGCATCTAGGCTGTATGACTTGGGAGCCGCTGCCTCCGCCATAGCTGAAAGGATCGAGGTATGGGAGATTCTTGAGGGGCGTGGGAGGGGAGAGGGAAAAGGAAAAGGAGCTGCTATTGTGGGCGAGGATGCATTTGGGGAAACATGTCGAGGGGCGCGGAGGTTCTTGCGCAACGGGGACGAAATACGGGGGGTGGCAGTAGCGTGGCTGGCAGAGGGAAGCTGTGGGGAATGGGGAAATGGTGGCAGGGGGGCAGGAGGGGTTCTGGCGTGAGGGGTTGGTTTAGGTTTGGTGGGGTTGAATGAGATAGCAGGGTGGCTTGGGGTTGGGTTGATTCCATGGACTTGGAAAATTGCTCCCACTGTGGCTAGAGAATTTCGGGGCATTGTCAAATTGCACATAATCTGCCACGTACGATAGACGCTCTTCTGTATGGAAAGAAAATTATGGGCTGTGTTTTATAAGGTGTAGATTGTAGATCAACAAAACTGGCGTCACCAGTACGACAAGATCGAGGTGGACCCTGGAATGCTGGGCTGGGTGCTTCTCGCCATTGAAGTTTTGTAGAGTAGAGGAATCTAGGTCAGCGACTTGTAAAACTGAAATTACTTGGCGAGGAGTGCCGAAAGCGCGCTCGCAAGGCTGTGGTATTCGCTGGTACCATTGCCAGTTATTCTGTTGCCTGACCACTGGACTTCCTGCTGGTTGATTTTGGTGACAACTAGCTGTGAGTGGGCCTCAACCGTTACTTAATCGACAACTTATTACCGTTTGAATGGAACTGTTTTCTGACTTCGCGGCTGGCTTCGACGAAGAGCTCGATGTTGACGACTCTGACATCTTGTCCGCCCTGGGCAAGGTTCCAGATGCAAGCAAACGACAGTCAGAGCAGATAAATACCGGAGGGAGCAAACTACCAGGGAACAGCGGTCTTCGGCCGGTGAGGACGAATGTAGCTGCAGACATCGGTGGAAGAAAGTTAAGTCCAGGCGTTACCCCTGCGCAACAAAGAGATGTTATCCTAGACAGGGAGAACAACGACCCTTCAAGATTCACAGTCCCACCTGAGCCAACTTCGGAGGATTTGAACTTTGCACCAGCCAGGAATAACCATGGCGCTGACTGGATGAGGCCTGAGCGCCGATCACCAGCTGATTCCGATGCTGCTAGATTCTCCGAAAGCCAACGACGCCGTCAAGGACGGGAACCGGCGGTCAGCCAGTCTCAGCAGAATGGCCCTGCGGACAAGAGCGTTGACGACGGCGTTAGTGGGTGGGCGAATTTCAGCCTCGGAGATTTCGACCTGGGCATTGATGGCTTGGGAGGAGACGCGGATCGAATGCGTAGAGAACCAGACGGGGAACCTGTTGGATTTCCACCCTCTCAGCGTGCAAATCAGACGCGCGGATTGAGATCCTCCCAGCGTGCGGATCAGGCCCGCGGATTGGGGAATGATAGCGAGTTTGTGAATGCGTTTGAAGAAGGTCATGGAATGAGCTTTGGATTGGACGATGCAGGAGCAGCTAGGGAGAAAAAGAGGAGAAAAAAGGGAGAGTACATCGAGACTGCTGTGAGAACTGAAGATGTGGAATTGAGCCCTGAAGAGAATGCGTTTCTCAAAAATGACTCGCCTCCACTGGATGGAAAAGCTGGGGGGGAGAGTCTAAGGATACTTCCAGGCCCTATTGGCATCCTTCAGCGGAGACTAGCAGGTCTATCCTGTGGTCCTGGTCAAGGTGATGGTGGCAATGGCAGTCCCTTTCCAAACGGCGGCTTTTCGCACGGTCAGCCAGAATTTACAGGAGACGAGGATTTCAGTAAAGGGCCATGGCTTTCGTGCCTCGACGTCCTCGACATACATCCTTCTGCCTTTGGTACGGTCGGTAACATTTGTGGTCTTGTGGTAACGTTTGTTTTTTTTCCAACTTATGGTTGTGTGGGTGTAATTCATGCTGCTTACAACGGCTGTCTTTTCTAGTTCAGGGAAACCAGGCACTGGCTGTGAAACGATAAGGAGCATTCAGCAAGCAGGCATATCGATGGTGGTCATGCAGGTGAGGTGACTGCTATTCCTGAAAGTTGCGATCTATGTGAATGGTAGAGGCTGATCGTAAACATGCTGTGCTGTCATTGGTTTGTGGATACCTTGACACATTTTTCTTGTCATGGTGGTTGATTGCCATCTTTTGCATGCTTCTTGGAACCTTCTCCCCTCCACACCCACTAGCTTGCAGCTATGGTTGAGCGCCTTCAACTGCAACCACGGGGTGATGCGAACATTGAAATCAAGGTAGGTCAGTTGTTCGCTGGGCACTGGAGCAATCCATCCTTTTTTCCTAAGCAACTGCACTTTGCACAACAATTGGCAGTCGGGTGATGTTGTAATTAAAAAGTGTTCCGGCATCCACTTTCTGTTCTGCTGTCATCACCATCCAAACCAGGACCCTACGGGTCGTCTGGAGGGCTCGCTGCACTGGAAGGTCATGGCTGATGGCGACAACAAGTCACGGCTTAAGCGAGGATCTGCCCTTCTTCTCCGAAAGGTGCACAGCCCATCTGTTTTGTGGCTGCATTGGATGATGTCACATTGCATTCTGTTTGTATGGAAGGAAGAGGGAGCATTGATTCGGAGTTATTGATGTGGGTACGCATCGCTGCCAGGTGGTGGTGTTCAGCCCTCGCAAGGGACTGCAATATGTCAACATCACCCTTGCCAACGTTGTTCAGGTGAGCGTCTGGGTGCATTCTGCCTGTTGTTCCAGTGAGATTGTCCCTCTCGTCCCTTCACGCTTTCATTGTGCCTCCTTCCGCTTTCCCGTCTCATCCCATTCAAGGTGTTTGCTCCAGACACTCCGATTCCTCCTGTTTCTGCATTTCGCCCATCGTCATCGGATCTACCAGGTGCGTGCATGCCTTCTTCTGAACAGGCTCCTCTACCTGTTTTACAATCTCCCCTGTTCATTATTCTGTCTCTGCAATTCCTAGAGTGCCTGAATGTCCATTGTCTTTCTGCACCACACTGCAGGTCCATGTGTTGCCTCTGCCCGTTCTCCTCCATTCAGCTCAACAGCTTCCCCGCCTGCACACACGGTCCAATCTCCAAGGGCGAACCAACAATTCGCCTTCGCAATGCCACGTCACAGCCTCGCTAGAGGCTCACCCTTTTCACCAAAGAATCCCCGCCTGCACACTCAGATACCACAGTCGCCAAGCTCTCTTGGACCCCACCGAGTGCCAGCATCGCCTCGACCTGTGACACAGATCCCACCTTCCGCTGCTCCATCTTATCCTGCTGCTGGTTCCGCAGTCCAAATAACTTCTGCCACTGCAGCTGGTGGGATGGCAGGTTCTCCTGCGCCTTTCACTTCCAGTGTGCCCAACCCCCGCTCCAATACCGAGATGATGCTGAAAAGTACCCCAGCCAGTCGAGTTCCAGCAGCCACGATCGAACGGATGGAGAAGGCGTGGGATTTCACGTCGATTGACGCTGAGGATGCTGATATCTGCCTCACGCCCATGATGCCTGATATGGCCTTAGAGAGCCACAGGGGAGGGTCTGGGAGTCATGTCTCAGCCATACGGGAAGGAGGTGAGGAGGGGCTTCAGCCACGTGATGCAAGATCTCGTGAACCTCCAACCACAGAAAGCCAGCGAGGCCTTTCGGCTGGCATGAATGATGGCATCCATAGGCCCTCTCCTCCTGTCAGAAAGCATTGTGGGCCTGATGCGCAAGGCGAAGCCGCAACAGAGGTGGAAGCGCAAGGTATGGAAGGGGTTGGCAGTGGTGAGGATAGTTTGAAAAAAAATGTTCACCAAGAGAGGGGTCCTGAAGAGGCGGTAGATGTTATGAAGAAACTTGGGTGGGATGCTGATGCTTTTGGAGCTTTTTTCGAGGATGATGTAGATGGTTTGTTTGCACCTTTGAATGGAAACTGAGCAGTGAGCATGATATAATATAAGCACCAAATCGTGTCAATTTTTTGTAACATAACCAGTTCTTTCTGTCAGTGTTTCTGAATTCAGCCGTGACAGTGCCCAACAGTGATCCAGCGACAACCAATGCCGACCTGGCAAGTCAGCGAAAGCGAGCAGGAAGCTTGGGGAGGGTCAAACGCATGGGGTGGGTGCTGTGTTTGAAGCATGACGTACTACATGTGAACGTTTAGGGCGTGTTACGTACCCCACCTTTTAGGGGCGGTCGAGGCCACCAGCAAGGTCAACCGTACATTACCGAGATTTGATTTTAATCTAACAAATAGAACCGAAGAGTTTCCAAACTCAAAATAGGCCAGTCGAGGCAACCAGCACAGGCTACGAAGTACAGAACATGCTCTTCTGGAATAAACACTTTCCTTGAAACTACTGAAACGTCACTGCAGCCCATCGCCAAGCTTCCATTTACAGAGCCCAGCCCCACGTCCGATCTGAAGCCCAACCCTGATCCCCACTGTACAGTACACCTAGTCCGCCCCAACTTACAACAGTTCCCTTCTCCCCACTCCCCTAGCATAGCTAACCAAACCAGCTTCCCCTCTCACACCTACCGCAGCATGCTCTGCAAAACCGAGTTGATTGTCTCTTCAACCCAGTCGATTCTCGCGCTCCCCGACTTGCGCCTAGTGACCGCCGAACTGAACCGACGCGACGCACCAAGTTCATGAGCTACGACGCGCATACCCATACATGTGCACCATAGACGCCATTCCTCCCAGTTCATACGTTAGGAACTAGCTTGGATCCTTCCTTCTGCCACCTGTCTGGCGTTCCTCCGTAACGTAGGAGGTGGTGGTGAAGTATAAAAGCTATCGCTGTCGTCATTCTCCCTACGCTCATTTTTCTGCCAGTCTTAAAAACCGTTAAACTTACCATTCAGCTTCTTCCTTTGTTTCTTAAAATTCTTCTGAATATGGCGACGCCGGATATGGCACTCCCGACCGCGGCAGGCGACGACGTTTGCGTGCGATCCCTGCGACCGTCGCCATTCTTGCTCGGCGACATCGCGAACGACCCTACTAACGACTCCCTTACCACTTATGCTAGCTCAGATTCCAAGTCGCGCATGCTGGAGCTGGCGACGCGCTTCGCCGCTACTCTCCGCTCTCTCAAGATCCGTCCAGGCGCGGGTGGTAACGCGACGCCGCGTCCTGACGACGATAAGCTATCGGCCAAAAGCATCGTGGAGATCCTTCAACGCGCGTCGGACATCGAGTCGCTCTCGCTGGTGAGCTGCGTCGAAGCGGTGCCCGATCGTCGCACCGCGCCACCCGGCTTCCTTCCAATGACCAAAACAGAACTCGCGACGGTGGTGCTCCCCGCGCTGCCACGTCAGCTCAAATCCCTGGAACTGAGCTCGGACCACTTTCTGACCCCCTCGGCGTGCGTGACGTGGGCGGAGGGGGGCGAGGCCGCGGCGGGAGGCGCGGGTCGAGTGTGGGGCAAAGACGACGGCCTTCAAGTCGGCGGCACGACTAACGTTCCCATCCCCCCATCGCAGGCGCCTCCTCCGCGCAACCCCTCTCCTGCTGCCGCCGCTGCTGCTGAAGCTGCTGCAGCCACTCCCGCCGTACCTTCCCCCCCTCCGTCCGACCCGTCTCCTCCTCTTTCCCCATCCTCCCTCCCCCCCGCTCCCCCTCCCCTTCCGCCCGCCCCCTCCCGCGAGCCCATCTCCATCCACCCGCCGCGCGTCTGCCTCACGGACGTGCACCTCCATGCCATCGCCGCCTCCCTCCCCAACCTCACCTCCCTCAACCTTGACATGCGTGCAACCGTCAACGCGGAGACCATAGGCCACCTGGCGGCGTCGCTGCCGCATCTCAAATCTCTCTCTCTCTGCTCTGATGAGGTCACCTGGGAGGTGGTGTCGCTGCTGCTCGCGCTCCTCCCCTCCCTGCAGCACCTCTCGCTCGTCTCCCACGCCTTGGATAAACCTCGCAACCACCCCGCCAAGCCTGCGGCACCACCCGCCGAGCCTCCTGCTTCGGCTGCCACAGCAGCCGATTCAGCTGGGGCCGAGGCTCTAGATTCTGAAACGGCTGCTCTCCTTTCATCGCTCTCCATTGCCGCTCCCAAGCCCGGCGACCTTTTCTACTGCCCACCGGGGTCGGCTCTGGCGCCCTGCCTCTCCTCCATCCGCCTCTATATCTCCCCCCACCGTTCTGTTGCCTGGGAATCGCCCCCTGCATCCTCCCTACTGCTCGCCCTCGCTGCTCGTCCCTCCTCCACTCCTCTGCGGGCCTTGCACGCCCAGAACTCCCCCAGCTCCACATGGCAGCTCGTGGGCCACCTGTTCCGCCAGCTCACCACTCTGGATCTCTCTCAAACCGAGCTGCATCCCGCCCCATCTCACCTGAAGGTTGGATCAACCGAGTGGAAGAAGAGCGAGGAGGTGCTGTGCCAGGCCATCAGGGGCCTTCCTCTCCTGGAGCGCCTTGGCCTTCCGCTGGCGTCAGATGCCATTCTCACAGCTGTTTCTGAGTCCTGCCCGAACCTCACTGCCTTGCACGCCCAGCCACTGGCTCGGTTCATTGCTGTCGCCTCTGCTGCTGCCAGTGCTGCTAATGATTTCCTTCTCACCAGCTCCTCCATCTACGCCAGGACCTGCCTGCGTGTTTCCCCTCCTCCTGTGCAATCTCATGTTACTGATGCCGGGGTGGTGGCTCTTGCAAACGGATGCACGCGATTGGTGCAGCTGAGTCTGGGCGGCTGTGTGAACGTGGGGCCAGTGGGGCTGCGCGAGCTGGCGAGAAAATGCGGGCGGCTGGAGGTGCTGAGGCTGGCGCGCACAGCGGCGGACGACGCTGCTGTCGTGGCCGCGCTGTTCGGCGACACCTGGCATGCTGACGCTGCAGTTGGTGCTGGTTCCACTGCTTCGCTCCAGCTGCAGTTGCCCCAGCTCGTTCTGCTGGATCTGTTTGACTGCCCGGGTGTTTCCTCCGGCCTGCTGCTCTCTCTCTTGGCAGCGGCCAGGGAGCTTGCAGGCGATGGTGAAGATGGGGAGGAGGTGAGGGCTGGGGGAGAGGCAAGGCGCCCTGGACTTACGGATTTCAGGCTGCGGAGGCTGCTGGTTTCGCATGGGGTTATTGCTGGCAAGGATGGTGGAAAGGAAGGAAAGGGAAGTAGAAATGGTGATGCTGGTGTGGATTTGAGAGTTGCGGCAAGGGAGGTTGGAATGCTGCTGCCCGAACTGGTGGTGACGTGCCACAGGACGGCGGAGCATGTTCTGCCTTGGGATGGCTTCTTTGGGGAGAGGAAGCTTGGTGTAGCTGAAAATTTTGACGACGATAATGCTCATGTGTAGAGTTTGTCTGAATGGGGTATATGATATTTCTGGTTTATTGTTCTAGATCTCATTCTGGGTTTGTAACTGCTGTTCTAGTGAATGGTTTTTACATGGCTTTATTACTCACAACCCGAACCCATTGGAACATCCTGAGCCACCTTTCATTTGCACGGGATCGAAATTGCTAGCGACCAATTTGCTTTGTGCTTGGCTTGTTTAGTGATCACTAGGCTGAACTATCCGTAAGAGATTTCGACCTAAGCCGAATAAGGTAGCAAGATAACAGGCCGGTCAGCGTTGTGCGATTTCCTGCCGAAGGTGTTGAGTCGGGGCAGCTCGCCCTTTGTTGGTCACCTTATGCGACAATGAAGGTGATCGGTCTTACGGGTGGTATAGCAAGCGGGAAGAGCACTGTCTGTCAGGAGCTCAAGTCGCGGTTCGGCTTTCCTGTAATCGACGCTGACAAGACAGCGCACGTACGTTATCTCCATTCCCCTTTACACGCTTACGTAGAATGCATGTTTGTAAAGGTGGGTACCTATCTGATTGGTCAAGGGCACCTGATTTTTCAATAGGTCCCGTTAAAGGTTGCATATGTGGGATTTCACACTACGCTGCTACAACAAAATCACCCTGAGAGCTTTACCGCATGCTTTCCTCTGCGTGTGTCTGCCTCAGCATGTCGCTAATTGTAGCAGAAAATTCTCTCTCTCTCTCTCTCTCTCTCTCTCTCTCTCTCTCTCTCTCTCTCTCTCTCTCTCTCTCTCTCTCTCTCTCTCTCTCTCTTTCTCTCTTTGGAGGGGGTCAGCGTGTTCTGTTTGTAGCAGAGAGTCCCCATCTTTATAACACCCACCCCCTCACTCTCCCCTTGTCCCAATCCCAACACATCCCCTTCAACCCCCACTCTCCACCTATCTCAACCCCGCCCACCCTTTCTTTCCTATCCCAACTGCGACATATCAGGATGTAATGCGGAAGGGAACCCCAGCCCATTCGCAAGTGGTGAAAGAGTTTGGACCTTCGGTGCTGACATCAGAAGGGGAGATAGATCGCAACAAGCTGGGAGAGATAGTGTTCGTCGACGCCAGCAAGAGGAAGAAGCTGAACAGGTGAGGCCTAAAACAGTGTTTGGTAGGGTATGTTAAGCATGCAACTTCATTCACTCTCAATCTATTTGATTGTTTTTGTTTATCACCCTGTATTTCTTATCAGGCTGTTTCTTTGTTGGTACTTCTTCAGTGCTCATTCATCATTCCCACTGCATCTTTTTTTGTGCCGGGCTCTAAGAAAAATATGTTTTTTTTCTTCTTCTTTTTTCTTCCTTTCTTTCTTTTTTAATCATTTTTTTTTCTGTTTTTTTCCCCATTCTTCACCCCATTCATCCTCCAGTATTATGCATCCTCACATTGCCTATGCAATTGCACGCCAGCTCTTCTCCCATTGGTGGGCCAATCACCCGCTGGTCATTCTAGATGCTCCTCTGCTCTACGAGACTTGTCTGAACCGGGCTACACGGGCAGTGATCGTTGTCTTTTGTGAGACGGAGCAGCAGGTAGAGCGTTTAATGAAGCGCAATGCTCTGCAGGAAGATGACGCTTGGCGGAGAGTGGCTGCTCAAATGCCGCTGGAGCTCAAAGTAGAGCGGGCAGATTATGTGATAGATAATACGGGAGAGTGGAGCGGTACATTGGAAAATGTTTCAAGAGTTGTGAAGTCCATTAGAACCAACCACAATAGTGTGGTTGATTGGCTGCTTGCACCTAGGGGCGTAATCCTTTTGAGTGTGTTGTGCTCGGTAGCAGTTGCTGGCTTCACTATATTGTACTTCACATCATGAGTTTGTATCAGCAGCATATTGTGCTTCACATAAGATTTTTATTAGCTTGATCATACCGTACGGATGCGCCCTAAAACTAGGGCATCCCATGATGCAAGTTATTTCGAGTCAACGCGAAACAACGCACCCTACAGCTCGCTCCTCAGCCGAATCCCTAGGTGAGAGGCATCACACATGGCAGAGCGATGTTGACTCACTGATAGGCGACGTATGCTCTGGTTGGATGGTCAGAAAGAAGATTACGGGAGTTTTAGTAGCAGGATCACGTGATGGTTTATCAGAATGCGCTTCTTGATGCGGTGCTCGTGCCAGCGAGTCTCCTGCTGCTTGCCTCCTACCACGCATGGCTGGTCACCCAAATAAAGCGCAGGCCCCTCGCCACTGTCCTGGGCGTTGCTCATACCAACCGTCGCACTTGGGTGCAGTGCGTGATGAAGGCACGTACGACATCACAAACGTCAGACTCTTGCTCAAATCTTTCAGCGTTGGGCTCGTGCTACTTTCAGATAAACCTTTCCGAGAAAAATTGACGGTAATCATCATTTCAATTTCACCAGGAAAGCAACGCCACCAATGGCATGCTGGCAGTGCAATCGCTCCGGAACTCCATCATGGCATGTGTGTTACTGGCTTCCACTTCAGCTACCGGTGCAGTTGCTATCGCCACAATCCTCACCAGCATCCGTCTTGACAGCCTTCAAGAATCGTTATCTTCCATGACCGTTGGATCAGCGTCATCTGACCTGCTGCTTCTGAAAGTCTTCTGTGTATTCCTTTGCTTCCTCTTCGCATTTCTATGCCACACTCAGGTGCGTTCTGAATGACCTAGATTATTCGTGTGTGTGTGTGTGTGTGTGCGTTTTTTTTTTTTTTTGTGTTGTGATTCAGAAGCGTGGCTTTTGAAGTTGTTGTTTCCCTATATTTGTTGGTGGTGGTACTTTACCATAACTCTCATGGTTTACTCCCTTCCATTTCCAGGCCATTCGATTCCTCAGCCATGTAAATTTCCTTATCACCATCCCCATTGATCCTGAGACTTCTCCTGGTCTCTCCATCTCTTATGTACAAAGAGTTCTTGCACGAGGAGACAACTTTTGCACAGTGGGCAATCGCTCATTCTACTTTCTCCTCCCTCTTGCGCTATGGTTCTTTGGGCCTATCCCAATGTTTCTCTCAATCGTTATTATGATATTTGCACTAAGGATCTCGGATTTTTCTCGTGACTTTCTTGTCATCCTTACCCCGGAGGCTCTGACATGACAGGAGCAGCCAGAAGCTTGTCTGAGAGGTTATTGCTGTACTGCTGCCTTTGCAGCATGGGATATACAACTTGCATGTTGAAGCCTAGGGAATGCAATGCAAATTTATATTTTCAAAAGAGTGCTCACTTGACCAACCATAGAATGGCAAGTCGTGTTGGAATGGAGCTGGTTGGATCCACGGATGCCCGTTGTAGTTCTTTACTGACCTCACCAGACAGGCGACACAGGTGCGGCATGGTAGCTCTGAATAACATGGAAACAAAATCATGTGCCCTTTTCAGAGATATTGGGCTCACAATTTCGACTTTGTGGAGAGGGTTTGGAGTACGGTATGTTTTAGATACCATAGGTCACTCAAAGAGGCGTACGTTCTGTACCTGCAACCAATCCCCCTTCCGCGTTCCCTCCCTGGCTGCAGTTGCAAGCATCACATGCAGCGCTGCTGCCACAGCTTGTGTTCGGGTTGAGCTGGCCGACCTTCAGGAGTGGCAGTTATCCCGATCGCCTTCAGAAGCAAGAGCAGCAGCAGCAAGACATGCTTTCTTTGCTGGCCCGCCACCCTCTCCTCTTCTGCCGCTCCTTCCTCCGCGACACCGCGGCCATTTAAAATGCCGCATGGCCATGCGCCAAAAGCAAACGAGCACAGCCCCTCCACGAATCGTCCCTATCTGCGGGGGTAGTGTGATGCGTCGGTTGGAGCGATGCGCCGATTTCGTGGCAGCCGTGGTTTGACATCGGATGTTTGCGATGCCGCCACGGAAGTATGGATGTCGCCACGGACAAGCGCGATTGTTCCGATCAGCGACCGCTGCCAGTTGCGGCACGAAACCCTTGGGAGTGCCACATACACCTCGTCGGTACCGTGCCGATGAGGGAGGGACAGCCTGGATGTCAATCTCCCGGTAGATGCTGCTGCTTCCGAGACGCACAGTAACAGCTGGCAATACAGCACAGTACTGTGCCGTCGCGTCGTTCTCGCAGTTACACGCAGTATCGCGTGCTCACTAGATACACGCAGCACCGTCATTGCATCTAGATGCAGCCAGATGGTATCATTGCCGCACGCAGCTCAGCGCTGGAGCAGCGCCAGCCTGGCGGCAGCGGCAACGGGAAAAGCAACAGGCAACCGGCATTTCTTGCTGATTGCGAGCCTTGACTCTTATTGCGGGAGGCTTGACTGAGGTTTGGGCCTTGAGTTCTGGCTGGAGTGAGAGTTTAGATTTCAGCTGAGCGAAGGGCGCGCCTCGGGGGCAGGGAGTGCAAGCGAAAACTAGGCCTAATTCTTTCCGCGCTTCGCTTCGGAAGAAAGGCAAGATTCGTTTCGTCTTCCCCCGCCTCGCTAGTATATTGTCTACGATGGATGTGTCCGATTTAGCAGATTCCAGAAGACCAACAGCCTGTTGTTTGCTGTTTCTCCGCTCCAACTCATTAGATCCGAGTGAGTCTGCTTCCGAGTCAAGCTCCAGGGCCCATGGCAGCCTCCCAGGTGCTTCAAACGTTCGTGAAGAGGCAGCAGAAGTGCGAAGCAGGCGCGATAACCTCTGTTGTCCACAAGGAGGAGGTGGAGGTGTGCGCTACTAAGAGCGAGTTGCTGCTGGAAAGCAGGCGCAACTTTTTCGATGTTATTACCACTGATAGAGAGGGTGCCAGGTACCACGAGCAATCGTACCCAGCCTTGCACGAGCAATTCGCGATGATTTCAAGTCTTTCACCGCCGCCAGCGACCGACATCCAGCAGGCAGCAGGGCCTCACGGTCTTCATCTTCCTAGTTCTGCAATGCACCAGGTTCCTCTGCCAGCGGACCGGGGTCGAATCCTGCCTCAGCAGGGGGGTACCATGGACTACGGAAGTCGTTTGCAGCCCGTCGGAAGAGGAACGGAACTGGCACTCAGCCTCAGTCTCCCAGAACCAGAGCCAGATTCGTCGAGGCCAGTGCCAAGTTCGGAGAGCAACCGTCACCAGCAACAGCAGAGGAAACGCCAAAGGCTCGTTCTAGAACAACATCCACTGGAGCCGTCCCCACTCGGCGGCGGCAAAGGGGGCCGTTTTATTTCAGAGGAAACTGCTCCCCTGCCGGCCGCAGTCCGCCCTGCGGTGACGGCGCAGAAGGACCTCGCGTCGCTCATGCTTGGTTGCCTTCACAGCGAGTCGCTAAACTCGACGCTGCTGCTGCGCGGACCTCAAGCGGCCGAGCCTACGACAATTGGGAGGACAAGGCCTGAGGTTAAGTTAGGGTTTCCTAGCTTGACGGATTCTGTTGCTCGAGAGGTGGAGGTTGGGGTGAGAAGGACGCCGGCGTCGCGTGCAGCGGGTTTGGGCTCAAACATCCATGAAGCTGTGAACTTGCACGTGGATTCACAAAGTAATTCCACTTCTTTTGCGAATTTCCAAGAACCATCGAGTGTCCGCGAAGCGTTGCTGGTCGAGCGACTGCAGGAAGCGCAGGAGCGGGCGAAGAGCGAGAATCGACGAGTGAAGCAACTGGAGCGACAGGTGGCGCTGATGTTGCGCGAGATGGGGGACGCGCAACAATTGGTGGCGGGGTTGGCGCGAAAAAACGCGGAGCTGCAAGGGGAAATGGCGCAGCTGATGCTGGCGCACATGGTTGTGGGTCTGGCGGAGGCAGGAGCAGGGGGGGTGGAGCTAGGGAACCGGGGAGAGGGAGGGGGGGAAGCTGGAGGGATGGAGGAGGGGAGAGGTGACAGCGAAGAGGTTATTCAGCCGTCCAGCCGGCAGATGTAGATGATGGTTAGGCAATAGGGGTACGCCTTATATCTGCCTGGCTGGTACCATATCTCTCCACTACCAGTCAATTGTCTGATGCAGATTTGAAGGCAGATGTCACCAAGCTCTCTGTGTACGTAATAATCTGGTTCAGTTCATTTGTTTGTGGCGCGTCTTGATGCTGCAGAGGGAGGAGGAAGGGTGAACCTTTTGCTGCACTTGTCACAGTGATTGGGAGGTACCTTAGTAAAAGAGAACTTGAGGTGATGTGTTGATCAATTGACTGTGGTATATACACAGCTACTACAAGCACACGTACATACATCTTGTATACGACAGCTGTGGTCTGAACTGCGCTGGCCGAGCTGCTGCAGCAAGCACCTGCCAGCATGCAGGAAGCTACTAACCGTATTTACTTGCCCATATTCCAGACCATATTCCAGACCATATTTACAAGCACGGGCCGTGCTGCACTGCACGGCATACCGTACCAAGAACAGCCATGCCATGGGTTACTCCATTCGAACATGCAACACACACGCCACACACATGCCAAGCACATATACAGAAGCAACTTACCCAACACATACACACCACTGGGCCTCCCACCTGACACCTTCCCACCCACCACCCACTCTGTCCTACACTTACCTCTACAGCCAAACTGAACAAGCGTCACTCCACTTCCCCTCATCGAAGTTAGCCTGAGGCCTGCCCAATCGCCATTAAGCAGACCCTAAAATCATACACTCGCACCAGGGCCACCTCATCGCGCCAATGCCACCTCATCACATCACTACCACTCCTCTACCCCCCCCCAGCGTTGCCCAATCGCCCTCCGATGCCATCAAAGTATGCCTGTGCCCTGCCTGGCTGCCACTGCCCAGCCCTTAAAGCCACATGCCCATCCGGCCTTACCAGGTAGAACGGACACGAATCCCCATGATACATCTTATATGCATACCCATGCGCATCCACACACACGCTCACATGCCCCCATGGATCGCACACAGCACTGCTACTGCCGCTGCCGCCGCCGCCGCCGCCACCACTGCTGTTGCCACTGCTGGCACTGCTGCTGCTGATGTTTGTGTTCACGCCACCAATCAATTCCCGACAGGCCTGCACAATCCCCTCAGCTGGCGCTCGATCCTCAAGCACACAATACACAGAAACCGGAATCTTCCAGGCAGCCTCCTCGCCCTCAGCCCCTCGTCTCCCCCCCACCGCTGCTGCCAGGGCCTCATCCTTAAACAATCTCAGCTGCCGCAGGAGGGATGGCTTTAAGCCGGTGCCAGCAAAGAGCAGCAGGTGGTGGGCGGGTGTGCCTCCATCGGGGCTGCAGGAGGAGAGCAGGTGGAGCATGGAGCACGGCTGCCAGCCGCCTCCTCCCATTTGCTGCGATGCTTTCTGCAGTTGCACCGCCCTTTGCAGCTTCTCTGCTTTCTGCTGCTGCTGCTGTTGCTGCTGCGATCGAATCTGTTGCTGCTGCTGCTGCTGTTGCTGCTGTTGGTGTGTCACTGTCTCGCCTCCTACCCTCCTGCTGCTGCTGCCGCCACCACTGGACTGAGGGGGAGACTGTGATGCCGCAGTGCGACTATAACGAGGGGGACTATAGGGAGAAGTGGCGTGTGACACCGAAGTGTGGGTGTAGTGAGGGGGAGGCAGCAGGAGCAGCAGCATGGCGTCTGGTGCACGTGCCCCCGGCGCTGCTGCCACTGCTGCTGGCGCCAAGACAGCAGCCACAGGCGGCGGGAGGAGGCGGAGGGGAGCAGAGAGAGGAGAGGAGAGGAGGGAGGAGAGAGTGGAGGGGAGATCGTGAAGGAAGAGAGACGAGTGGGGGTAGCGCAGGGATAGCTGGGCAACAGTGGCTGCTGCTGCGACTCTGAGGGAGTGAGAGCGAGAGAGGAGGAAGAAAGCAGCAGAGCGAGAGAGGGAGGTGAGGAGGGTCGGGAGGAACATAGCCCGAGTGCCGGCATCCGTGGCTTGAAGAACCTGTGCAACTGCCGGCCTTCGCTCGGTGTCATATGTATTTAATAGCTCCCACCCGGCAATGCCTCTTCCCACTAGGGCGACCTTCCATGCTGCGTTATAAGCATCCTGCACTCCTGTGTTAAGCCCCTGGCCGCCTACAGGGCTGTGAATGTGGGCTGCATCGCCTAGGAATAAGACGCGGGATTGGAGGAAGCGGTTTAGGGAGCGCAGGTGCATGCTGAAGACGCTGCACCAATGGATGCTGTCCACGTGGGCACCACATGGCGCGATGGCGTTGAGCATGGCGGACACGTGCTGAGGTGTCACTGCTGGCTGCTGAGGCGTCAATGCTGGCTGCTGAGGTGTCACTGGGGAAGTGGACGGTGCTATACCAGCGCTGCCACCACCAGAACCATCAGCAGCAAGCCTAGAAGCAGAGGCAGTAGGTGGAGTGGAAGGAAGTGGGGCGGAAGGGATGTAGGCTGGGCCATGATGGGCGGTCTCAGATACAAGAGCTGAGACCACACGTGCTGGGGATGAGACTCCTGCTGTGCTTACGCTTCCTGCTGCGAGTGGAGTGACTGATGCTGATGGAGGGGCCTCTGTGGTTTCAGAAAAATCTGCTGAGGATGAGATCCCTGCTGGGATCTCCACATACGGAGTCTCGCTCTTGTCACCTCCCCTCCCAGTCCTTTCCCCAAGCCTCTGTTCTCCCACTTCCCCTGCTGCTGTCCCACCTCCCTCCGCTGCCTTCCCCGTGCCTCGCCTGCGGGCCTCGGCTTGGTCAATCAGACCCACTGGAGAAAACATCCTGGCCGTCCCTTCATCAAAGATCAACCGCCACAAGCCATCCACCCCAAACGGCAGAGCCACTAAAACACCCCCCCTCCCCCTCCCCCCGCTCTCCCCCCCACACCAGGTGCCACCACACGTTTACCTCGGGTGAACACATGGCCCTTGTTCCTCGGGAACGGCCAATGGGAGAGCGCCACGTCAGCGAGGAGCGCGTGCATGGGGTACTGCAGCCCGTCAAAGGAAAGTCCCAGCTGGCGGCGGCACGTGCTGTGTGGCCCGTCACACGCACACACCAGGTCAAACGACGCCGCCTCTACCTCGCCCTCTGCCTCACCCCCCTCCACCGATCTCCACCCCTCCCTCTCCATCTCACGCCCTATCCCTCTGGTTGCAGTTCCTGTGTCTGTCTCTGCTGCAGTGGCTGTGGAGTGGGATGGTGTGGCAGGAGTGCGGGGTTGCCTCGTGCGTGCATGCACATGCCGAAGCTCCACGTGCACTGCACTCGGGTCCTGTGAGTGGATAAGGTCGGGGGGTTTCACAACGTTAAAAGCTTTAGGCAAATATCGGGCAACTTTTGAAATCTCATTGCTACGGTGTGTATTCTGTTCAAAGAATGTGCCATGTTAGTTAACGACGAAGCCGCGGGGCAGGAGCCAAGATATAGGAGCCATCCTTTGACCAGAGCGCACCTGACGGATTCTGACAAGCTCCGTCTGCCACTCCACGTCCGTCCCGTACACGTCCTTGAGGCACCGCGCCAGAATCCGTTCCGTGTCGCTCTGCGGCACCATCAGCACGAACGGGAACCGCGTCGCCCACACGCTCGGCCTCGAGTCGTCCCCGCAATCCGCGGATTGCTCCTCGCGGCGCGCCAGGCCGTGGTCCCTGCCGTGCCGTCCGCCGTCATCTCCGGCGGGACTGCCATTTAACTCGGAGAGAGCGAGCGACGCTGCCAGGTGTCCGTCTGTTCGAACCTCGATTCCCTGGCAGACAGAGACATCGGCAAACTATTCAAAAACGAAGCGACCAATTTCTGAACACTGAAAATCGTGAATTAGGGTTACATTTTCAAAATGGCAACGCACTATTTACTTAAAATTCCACTTTTCCCGCGCGAATTCGACCCTCACCTCCACAATGGTTCCCGCGGCGATTAAAGCGTCCACGACGCCGTCATGCGCGGATAAGATCTCGAGCGTGCGCGCGTGTAGCGCCAGCGCCTTGGAGTGCTCCGACGGCGCGCGATTCCGCTCCACGACGCGCACGTGCAGCCCGTGGCGCCGCAACTCGCACGCCGCGACGAGACCCACCGGGCCTGCTCCCACAACCAGCAGACTCGGCGGTTCCAGCGACGAGGACGGTGCTGAGGGGTTCTGCGCCATGCGGTGGGATTTAGCGTGAAGGGAACTAACCCCGCCACAAACAAGCCTCAAAAAGGCTGGGAAACTCAACTACTCAAGTTGTATCTTGGGCGCGAAACAAGCATGGGAAGGAAGATCTGGCTGCCGCCGCTAAGGTAACGAATGACCCCCTCATATGCTTCAGGCCACGATTACTTATCCCTTAGCTATAGATTGGAGGCCTAAGTGGGGATTTTGCTATTCAGGATTCCGTGACAGACGAAGGAAAGGGGGCTGTGTCGTGTGCTTGTGGGGGGATTGGAGCGACAAATTCGAGGCGGGCAATTTGCCTTGGGATCTCGTCGCGTCGCGATTTTCCACCAATCAAGGGCGGACTCAGCTGACGTCCGCGCTAGAATTCCCCCACATCGAGGTCAAACCTGGGTGTGATGGTAGTGACAGCTGGAGAAGACGTGGCAAGGCAGGTAAAAGTGGTCCAAACAGGCATGCAGAAGCTTGTGACGTGGTAAGGAGTGTTGTTCGTAATGACTGCAACAGGCTTATAGCATATGGAAATCATATGTGCTGTTTAGAAGAGCCGAGGAAATCAATTGTTTGAGGCATATCCAGATCCGTAATGTCGTTTTGCCTCCCGTAGTGAGTCGGTAGCAATACTGGGAACGAAAGCCTTCACTTCCGTGCTTCCTTGCTATTGGTTGGCAGCGTGTTGAACGGCCTTGGGATTGGATGCGAGTGCCAACGTTGCTGTCGTCCATCCCCCATGTACAGTGTTCGCTGTTATTCTTTGTGGCCCAAGACGGTGCTAGGTGGTTATCGAGCATCACCGTTTCACAACGCGACGCAACAAAACAGACCGCACAGGACCAGCAAGGACGTAGCTCACATGTCATGAGAACGGAATTGATGCGAGAATAATCGATCAGTCGGTCGGAAGGTAGGTGTTGCCCGCCATTCCAACTGATGAAATTATCCCCATCCCAGTGTCCAGTGTTTGGAACTGACATCGTTAGTCTCCGTTTAGATAAGAAAGGAGGGCAATGAACAACTTCATCAGCTCATGTGATTTCGAAATGGATGACGACCGTCGTGCTGACCATCAGCTCTGTCCACGACATATATCAATCTAATAATCTCTTTTTTTGGAAGGATTGTAAGAAAGCAGTAGTCTGGAGCTGATTATCACTCTCGAATCGCGCATTCCCACCTTGAACACCGTTGGATCCCGCGGTCTGCGCATGCACGTTCACGATGCGTCGCTTGAATCCAACGAGCAATCGTAGCGTACGGGAACTAAGCAGCCTTTCAGGAATTTCCAAGAGTGGCTTGTGGCATGCGCTCGTCGTTTTCCTCCTGGCTTGCGCCGCTCGTGGCGCATGTGGTTGTGACGCCAACGGACCTGCCGTCATGCACGGTAGCAACGGCTGCAGCGGGAGTTATGTCATCCTGCACAGCAACCGCAGCAGCAGTGATGTCATCACGCACGGTAACGGCAGCAACCGCAGCAATAGTGATGTCATCACGCACGGTAACAGCAGCAACGGCAGCCGGGGTCACATGGTCATGCGTGGCCACGAAAGCACGGGGCATCGGAGGCAGCTGCAGCTGGTGGGGCAGGTGAAGGCCTTCGAAGCCGAGCTGCAGTACTACGTGCCTGTGCCCATCAGGTGTGCTTATATCAAGTGCTACGTGCCTGTGCCCATCAGGTGTGCTTATATAGAGTGAGTGCTACGTGCCTGTGCCCATCAGGTGTGCTTATATAGAGTGCTACGTGCCTGTGCCCATCAGGTGTGCTTATATAGAGTGCTACGTGCCTGTGCCCATCAGGTGTGCTATCGTGCCTTCGCCCATCACTCGCCCATTCACCTCGCCCCAGGACCCATCCTGAGAGGGCCCGCCTCCTCGTTGAGCGTCTGGTCTTCGCCCTTTGCTCACCCAATCTAACCAGCAGCGAGTCATGCTGCTCCCTTCCTTTCCCCTTCTCTGCCCTTGTCCCTCCCTCTGTTCTGCTCGCTCCAGGACCCACCGCGAGAGGGCTAACCTCCTGGTTGAGCCGCTAGGCTTCGCCTTCAACTCGTCTAACCAGCAGCGCGTGTTGCTGCACTACCTCGAGCACGATCCCAAGTGGGGCACTGTCGCCCAATGCCGCGGCGACACCTGTCCCTCCATGACCTCCTGCGGGCCTCGCTTCCCGAACCTCCAGGCCTGCTGGAACCCGAACCTAGTCGAGCGGGAAATTTATTGGCCTGACCCGCCTGTGAATTGCCCGAAGAGAAACGAGAAGCAGCTGAAAGAGGAGGCGGGAGGGGGATGGCGAGGGGGGTGGGGAGGGGGAGGGGAGGGGGAGGCGGAAGGGGAGGGGGAGAGGGAGGGGAAGGAAGAAAAAGAAGACGATTAGGAGGTGGAGAAGGGGGAGAAGGAGGAGGAGGAGGAGGAGGAGGAGGAGGAGGAGGAGGAGGAGGAGGAGGAGGAGGAGGAGGAGGAGGAGGAGGAGGAGGAGGAGGAGGAGGGAGGCGAGGGGAGGACATCGAAACACGTGTATGATGGGTACAACGAGTCGTGCTCGCACAAGCAGGACTTCAGCCCGCACAGCCCCAGTGCCTTGCAGCTGATGCAGCTGAGGGACGTGTATGTGACGGCCAAGGGGTTTGTGTTCAACCGCACTCACAGCTTCGTGCGCCCGGGCTGTGATCGGTTCAGAGAGGTGCGTTGGGAGCCAAGGGAGGCAGGGGTGAAGGGGTGGGTGCGTGGCAGGGATGCAACCACTGGAGGGAGATTGCATGTGAGGGCCAAGGGGATTGTGCATGTGTGTTCAAACACACTTACAGCGTCGTGCGCCGGCCCGGGCTGCGACCGCTTCAGGGAGATGCGTTGGGAGAGAGAGAGGAGGCAGGGATGCAAAGGGTCAGGGGTAGGCGGGTGGCATTGATGGAAGCCGGTTCAGGGATGTGTATGTATGTGATGGCAAAGGGGTTTGTGCTCCATCACAGTCACGGCTTCAGGGAGGTGCATTGGGAGAAGGGCGGAGAGGGATGAGGGAACAAGGACAGGTGGTGGTTGTTCTGCTGCGCCTACACCCAGGGATTCAACTTCTACCACTTCATTGTCGAGACCATGCCGCTCTTCCTTGTTGCCTCTATTTCCTCCCCCCCTCCCCCCCCCCCCCCCCCCCCCCCCCTCCCCCTTCCCCCACAACAGATATCCTATTCAGCACAGCAACAGGTGCACGTGCTGCCAGCGGCCTTCAGCTGGGCGTACTCGCAGGGAAACAACTTCTACCACTTCATCGTTGAGACCATGCCGCTGTTTCTCGTGGCCGCGCCGCTGTTGCCACACATCTTGCCCTCCATCCCTATCCTCGCTGAAACCATGCAGGTGAGTCGCTTGCTTGACCGACCGCTGTTTGACTTATGGCATCGTTGGCTGTTGGTGATCATTGCTGACTGTTGGTGAGTACCATTGGCCTCTGCCTGTCACCCGTTGCAAAGGGCTTTCGCCTCGGAACGGAACAGCACAGCAACCTTTCATCTTCCCATGACCCCTCGTGTGATGAGTCGATTTTTGAGTCGACTCAAAAAGCAACCTTTCATCTTCCCATGACCCCTCTCCCTGCCTGCGCTCCCCATGCTTTGCTCGTGGGCCCCAGTGGGACGCATACAAGCGCTTTGGCGAGGAGCTGATAGGAGTGAAGTACGGTGCAGTGCGGTCGCTGCCCGTTGTGAAGGCAGACCTGTTTTTCGTTCACACTCTCTACGAGGTCAGTGAGTGATTGCTTGCTCCTGCGGGCTGGCTCTGGGATGTCTCAAGCAGGAAAAACTGCTCTTAATGAGAAATCTCACAAGCACCCATCTCAGAACATGAGCACTCATCTCACAAGCACCCATCTCAGAACATGAGCACTAATCTCACAAGCACCCATCTCAGAACATGAGCACTAATCTCACAAGCACCCATCTCAGAACATGAGCACTCATCTCACAAGCACCCATCTCAGAACATGAGCACTCATCTCACAAGCACCCATCTCAGAACATGAGCACTCATCTCACAAGCACCCATCTCAGAACATGAGCACTAATCTCACAAGCACCCATCTCAGAACATGAGCACTCATCTCACAAGCACCCATCTCAGAACATGAGCACAAATCTCACAAGCACCCATCTCAGAACATGAGCACTCATCTCACAAGCACCCATCTCAGAACATGAGGGAATGCAATTGATGCCCCTCGTGTGTGAAGTGAAGACCTCTTCTTGGTTCACACTCTTTACGAGGTCCGTGAATGCTCATGTTGGTTGGCTACCACCTGCCTGCCTACCACCTGCCTGCTACCACCTGCCTGCTACCACCTGCCTGCCTACCACAAGGTAACAGTCCTATCTGCCACCACCTGACACCCGCTCATACAGACTCAGATTTCCCTTGCCCCATCCCCCTCTCCCCCATTCCCTCCCCACCTCCCTTTGCTCTCCTCCCCCCTCCTCCTCCCTTCGTCCAGCCCATGACCCAGGAATGTGACAACCCTTCGAAGGTGCTCTGGCATTTCCTCAGGCGCCTTCCAAGGGTTGCCAGCTCTGGCAATCCCTCAGGCGCCTTCCAAGGGCTGCCGGCTCTGGCATTTTCTCAGGCAATCCCTCCTCGCTGCTCTGGCAATCCCTCAGGCGCACCCACCTGCTGCACCCACGCGGCCTGCCTCTCTTCCTCCTGCTCCCCCCCCCCCCCCCCCAAACGTGTATTCCCATTGTCTTGGCCATTCCCTTTCCCCCCTCTATCCAGCCCATGACCCAGGACTGTGGCAACCCCTCCACGCTGCTCTGGCAATCCCTCAGGCGAACCCACCTGCTGCACCCACGCGGCCTGCCTCTCTTCCGCCCCGACTGGTCCTACCAACCGCCGCCGCCGCTGTCGCCGCAGCAGGCGCAGGCGCTGCCGCCCGACTGGGTGGTGGTGCTGGCCAAGCGCCTCTCTAAGAAGCGATCCATTAGTAACTTTAGGGACGTGCAGGCAGTGGTGGAGCGGGCGTTTCCCAAGGAGAGAATCGTGCTCTTCACTGGGTCGCTGACAGTTCTGGAAGGTACAGTCATATCTGTTCCTCGTGCGGGCGTTCCTGAATTTTACTTTTGAGAATTCTCAAAAGTAAAATTTTCGTGCGGGCGTTCCTGCCTGGTACTTGAAGGACGTGCAGGCAGTGGTGGAGCGGGCGTTTCCCAAGCAGAGAATCGTGCTCTTCACTGGGTCGCTCACTGTTCTGGAAGGTACGATCATATCTGTTCCTCGTTCGGGCGTTCCTGCTTGGTACTTTAAGGACGTGCAGGCTGTAGTGGAGTGGGCGCCTGCTCCCTCACCTACCACCTCGTTGTCAACCCTTCCCCCCCCTTGTCCCCCTTCCCCCCCCCCCTTCTCCCCCTTCCCCCCCCCCCCCCCCCTTCTCCCACCCTTTTCTGCCTCTTTCTCCCTGCCTCTTCCCCCCTCTCGCTCCCCCCCAACGCAGCTCGCGCCTTGTTTCGGCGAGCGCGGCTGTTTGTAGCAGGGCATGGCGCAGCACTCACCAACGTGGTCTTCATGCCGGAAAGGGCATCAGTGCTGGAAATAAGGCCCGATAGCTGCGCTGTCGTGTGCTACAACCACCTCTCCCACGCCTGCTCCCTCACCTACCACCTCGTTTTCAGCCACGGCACGTGCTTGGATACTGTACAGGCGAATGCTACAGTAATAGCAAATGCGCTTAGAGACATAAAAACAAGATTTGATAGAGAAGACGAACAAGGCATGTAACAAGCTAACGTGTGAAATGTTTATGAGACAATGCGTAGGATGTAATTATTCTTCATTTGTACCATGTGTCACCATTAGCTACATGTACAAGAGTGTACATTGCAACTGTACACATCCCTTCCATCAGCACAATCTCAAACCATCTGCAGCAGATCACTGAGCAGTGCCTGGTGGGCATTCAAATGAACCTTCACCACCCCTCCCTCTGCAAGCTGCTCTTAGAAGAGCGCTCACCACATGCACCTCTCTTGGCATGCACCTTCCTTTGCACGCACCTCCCTTGGGTGCACCACCATCGACTCCACCACCAGATGGCACCTGGTCTCAGCTGACAGAAACTCATCAAGCTGTTCAGCTGCTCCTGCTGTGCATCAGGCAGTGCCCTCACCATATGCACCTCCCTCTGCTGCACCTCCTTCCACTCCATTCCACCCATAAAGACTTGTGGTGTGACAGAAACCCATCACTCTCGAATGCTCTGCATCAGGCTGTTGAGTTCTGCCTGGTGGGCTTTAAGCAGTGCCTTCACCATATGCACCCCCCTCCACTCCACTCCACTCCACTCCACTCCACTCCACTCCACTCCACCCATACAAGTCATCTGGTATAAAGAAACCCATCAGTCTCGGTTGCTCTGCATCAGGCTGTTGAGCTCCGCCTGGTGGGCTTTAAGCAGCGCCTTCACCATATGCACCTCCCTCTGCTGCACCGCCCTCCACTCCACCCCCAGCTCATACTCCACTACGTTGGGCTGCGCACAGTGTGACGTGGTTAAGTTGTTCTTCTGTTGGAGGCAGGAAATGGAAGGATAGAAGAGGGGAAGGGTGGGAGGGGGGGGGGAACAGGCCGTGGGCAGCGGGCAGGGGAGAAGGTTGAGGAGACGGGGAAGAGGACGAATGGGGTGAGGGGAGTGAGTGAGAATGAGGCAAGGACGACTGGAGGGAGGGAGGGAGAGCCTCCAACGCCAGTCATGAGTCATGCGTACCATTCCTACCAGATCTACCATACCTACCATACCTACCATTCCTACCATACCTACCATACCTACCATACCTATCATACCTACCATACCTATCATTAGCATCACGGCTTTCTCACCTTGTCATCAGAGTACTGCCCGGGGCCCCGCTTGTTGCGGATGGCGAAGTAGACCGGCCCGTGGGACACGAGAGAGGCTGAGGGCGCATCCACTGGTGATGCCGTCACTGCTGGCGGCCGCTGCAGGCGACCAATCAGTGGGCTGCACGTGGCAGGAGGAGTGTGGAGGACAAGGGTAGAAGTGGGAGCAGAATGGTAGGGTGGGGGCATACAGTGATGAAGGATGGGCAAATCTGGATATATCAGGCAATAATGGGGAGGGAGTCGGCCAGTCCAATTAAGCGGGGGGAAAAATCAACAGCGGCGGAGGAATGGGAGTGCAGATGCATCTGAGGGGGGAGGAGAAAAACAAAAGTGGTGGTGCTGGCAACAGCAGCAGCGATGGTACATGGAGATGGGAGCAATGTTGAAATCACTTGAGGGAATTCTCAAAAGTGATGACAGCAGCAGCAGCGGCGGCAGCAGCGATGGTACATGGAGATGGGAGCAATGTTGAAATCACTTGAGGGAATTCTCAAAAGTGATGACAGCAGCAGCAGCGGCGGCAGCAGCGATGGTACATGGAGATGGGAGCAGCCAAAGCAGCGGGTGAATAGCTTGGCTCATCAAGAAGAGTGAAGGGTACGATGCCTCGAGAGGGTACGATGCCTCGAGAGGGTACGATGCCTTGAGAGGGTACGATGCCTCACCGGGAGGAGTAGGAGGGTACGATGCATTTCGCCGAGAGGAAGAGCACGGTAGCGGCGGCGGCAGCGATGGCAGCAGGAGTAGCAGGGAAATCAGGGATTGGCGCCTCTGACAAGCACCTGAGAAGGTGCTGCCCTTACCGGGAGGAGTGGGAGGGCACGACGCATTTGGCGGAGAGGAAGAGCACGGCAGCAGCGGCGGCAGCAGCGGTGCGGAAGATGGCAAAGGCGTGAATGGCGATGAGGGGGATGGGCGTCGTGGCTGGCTGCACCCGCACCGCCAGCACGTCTGAAAAGAGCTCTAGCATGGCCTCCTGTGAGATAGACGCCAGACGGGAGTGGCGCGGGGCAAGGGGCAGGTAGAGTGGGGGGCAGGTAGAGTGGGGGGCAGCGGGGGAAGAGGAGGTGGATGGATGGGCGCACTCGCAATGCCACCACGTCAGATAAGAGCTCAGACATAGCCTCCTGTGGGGGTAAGAAACGGGGAAAATAGTAACGAGGATGGATGGATGGATGGATGGATGGATGGATGGATGGATGGATGGATGGATGGATGGATGGATGGATGGATGGATGGATGGATGGATGGATGGAGGATGATGGATGGATGGATGGATGGATGGATGGATGGATGGATGGATGGATGGATGGATGGATGGATGGATGGATGGATGGATGGATGGCTGGGGATGGATGGATGGATGGATGGATGGCTGGCTGGATGGATGGAGGGCCGGACGGCCGGACGGACGGACGGACGGACGGACGGATGGATGGATGGATGGATGGATGGATGGATGGATGGATGGATGGATGGATGGACGGACGGACGGACGGACGGATGGATGGATGGATGGATGGATGGATGGATGGATGGATGGATGGATGGATGGATGGCGGACGACGGACGGACGGATGGATGGATGGATGGATGGATGGATGGATGGATGGATGGATGGATGGATGGCTGGACAGACGGACGACGGACGGACGGACGGATGGATGGCATGTTGTAAATGGTTGCACTCGCCGCCGCCACCATACGCGGCAGCACAAAAACGGTACAGGGACTATGCTTGCAGCACCTTGGGGATTCTTGACGGGCCATACACAGGATTCGATTTAAGATGCCTCGAAACTCACGTGCAGCTGCTGCGACGAGGTGCAGGGAGGGATGTTTGTCGATACGCACCACCCGCTGCTCCTCCAACGCGCCCTCGATGATGGTGTTCCACTGGAGGGGTGTGACGGACGGAGGGACGTCGACGATGAGAGAGATAGGCGGGTGATAATGGTGAGTTGGTGAAAATGGTGGGCCGGTGAGAGTGGAGGGCGGGAGAGAGTGGAGGGCGGGTGAGAGTGGAGGGCGGGTGAGAGATGGACCTCTAATGCTTCGATGATCAGAAATCCAGTTGAAGGGCGTGGGGTAATGGAGATAGGTCGGTAGGTGGATAGGTGTGTGAATGAGTTTGGGGAGAGGTGGAAAGGAGCATACCCTGTATCCGTCTGCCTCTCTTTTCTGCCTGCCTCGCCTTCGCACCAGCTGCAGCAGCAGCCACAGGGGTGGCAGCAGCAGCAGCACCAGTAGCAGCACCAGTAGCAGCGGTAGGGGCAACAGCGTTGATGACAGCGGTGGCAGCAGCAGCAGCAGCAGCAGTGAGACGCAGAAGCAGGAGCAGCGAGAGGCACAGGCCAACAGAAACGTGTGTCTATGACTGGTCCCTCCTCGTCACTCTCGGTTTCATCACTTCACCCTTCTCCTCCTCACTCTTGTCCTTCTCATCTCTCTCTTTCTTCATCCCCAGTCCCTCACGATCAACACTCTCCTTGGGTATTGCAGTATCAATATCACCTTCCCTTCCTTCCATCCCCTCACCATCAACTTCCCTTTCAGTCGCTTCACACCTCGTTTTCTCTCTTCCCTGAATCAACCTCCCCAGCCGGCGCCATGTCAGCAGCACCCAGCTCTGACGTGGCAGATTCAGGCGCTGCTGATTGGACAGCTGTTGAGTCAGCTAGCATTAACGCTTTTTCCACTCCTGCAGCAGAATCTATAGCACCAGCAGCTGTAGCAGGAGCAGCAGCAGCTGTAGAAGCAGCAGCCATAGCAGCAGCAGCTGTAGCAGCAGAATCTGGTGGCGGTGGTTGTGGTTCAGGTGACTCTAACGACGCTGCCTCTGCACCAGGTGTCTCTATCACAGCTGCTTCTCTTGCTGATGAACCTGCAGGAGAGAATACGGAATTAGCAACAGCAGTAGGTGTTGCTTCTGCTGTTGCTGCTGGAACCGGAATTACTGCTGCAGCTGCCGATCCGTATCCCCTGCAGTCGCACCTGCTACTGCTTCTATTAATTGAGATGCTGCTGCTGGTAGTGGGGCTGCTAGTGGTGTTGCTGTTGCAGCGGTCAGTGAGGGTGCTAGCAGTGGTGCTGTTCCTGTTGCTGCTGCTGCTGCTGCTGCTGTCACTACTGCTGCTGCTGAAGGCTCTTCTGCTTCTGCTCCTGTGAGAATTTCCCATTGCTGTGCTCTCCTTTTCTGCTTCTGCTACAGCTTCCTTTGCTACAACTGCTTCTGCTACAGCTGCTCTGCTTTAGCTGCTTCTGCTATAAGCTTCTGCTGCTCTGCTGCAGCTGCCCCTGCTTCAGCTGCTTCTGCTACAGCTGCTTCTGCTACAGAATCTTCTTCAGACGCGTCCAAGTCGTTGCCAGAATCAGCAGCACCAGCAGCAGCAGCAGCAGCACCTGCATCACTGACAGGCTTCCCCCTCCCTCCTCTTTCCTCCTTGCCTCGTCGCTCCCCTCCTCTTTCCTCCTCCTCTCATCCAATTTCCTCCTCCCCTCTTTCCTTCTCTCCTCCTCTATCCTCCTCCCCAGCGGCACAACCTCTTGACCCTCTGGCAGCTTCCCTTCTCTCTCAACACGCTTCTCAGCACCCTTCTCACTCCCTCCGACCCCTCTCCTCTCTTTCCCACCCTCCCTGCTCCCTGCACCTTCTTCTTCCCTTGCAGCTTCTCAAACAAGCTCCTCCTATTGGCCGGAACATTGGCCAATGACAACACACCCAACCATCTTCTTCTTTCCCCCTCCCCCTCCCCCTTTCCCGCCACCTCCTCCTCCTCTCCGCCTCCCCCTCCTCTCGCCCCAGCAGTCCCAGCCTCAGGGGAAGGTGTTTATCCGGGGGAGCTTCTTCTGGGAGGGGCGGACAGGCAGTTTCGCACGAGACCCGGGCCCATCAGGGCTGCTGCAGGCTGCAGTCCCTGCGGCAATCCCTGCCTGGGCCCACCCTTGCCTGCCTGCCCTGCCAGGGCCGATTTCTCAGTTAAAAGCGTCAGTGCACTTGACTTGGTGAAACCTCCTTTGAGCCTTCCTTTGAGCCTTCCTTTGAGCCTTCCTTTGAAGACAGTGCTTCTCTTGGTGGCAATCCTCCTTTCCTCAATCCCACCTCCTCTTCCTCTTCCTCTCCTCCCCACCCCCTCCTTCCCTTTGCCCTCCTCCTCCGCCTCCTCTTCTACACCCTCCTCCTCCTCCTCGTCCACTTGCCCATCCTCTTGCCCTTCCGCTCCCTCCTCTCCTTCCTCTCCTCCTCCTCCTCCTCCTCCTCCTCCCCTCCTCCTCCTCCTCCTCCTCCTCCTCCTCCTCCTCCCTCCTCCTCCTCCTCCTCCTCCTCCTCCTCCTCCTCCTCCTCCTCCCCTCCTCCTCCAATCCCACGGGTCTCCCACCTGCTTCTCCTTGCTCTGCTTCCCGCCCTTTTCCCCCACCCGCCCTTCCACCTTCATCCTCTTGCTTAGCCGTTTCTGCTCCCTCCTCCACTTACCCCAACCCTTCGCTCCTCCCCCGTCCCGTTTCTTCCCGTTTCCCATCCGTGTCGTTTCTCAGAGCACCGTCCTCTCCTCCCTGACTGCCCCAACATCCCCCCAACGTCCCCCCCCGTAGCCCCGTCTCCTGCTTCCTCTCCTGCTGCTCTGTCCTCCTCTCCTGCTGTCGCTGCACTGGTCGCCTGCTGCTGCACCCATGTCGGCTTGTTGAACACTGCCTCCTCTGTGCCACATTTGACATATGGCATGCGCGCCATGCATGATGCGCCATGCAATGATGCACCATGCATGATGCGTCATGCAATTATATGCCATGTGCCATGCGACATGCCATGCACCATCCATCATGCGCCACGCACCACTCTCCATGCCCAATGGCAAATGGCACAACATGCCACATGCCATACGAAGCAGGTTACCACAACATGGCAAATGGCATTCCCAAGGCTCTAACACAGTCAGTGCACACATGACATGGAATGCACACCATCATTGAAATGGGACAAGAATTTGCAGCAAAGAGCATTTTTGCACAAACAAGCACACAATGCCCAGCCTAATCCAACCTGAACCCTCACCTGAGCCCACCCTGAAGGATCTGCTGATTCCACCTGAACCCTCACCAGAGCCCAGATCGTCAACAGCCACCTGAAGGTCCTCGATCACCCGCTTCTGCTGCATGTCCCATGCGCGGCGAAACACCAGCTCTGCTGCCTCCACCTGCGCTGCGCTCGGCTGTGGATTGCGCGGGTCCTCAGAGATGCAAAGTATACGCGCCCTTGAGTCCACCACAATCTGTGCTCGCACAGAGAAAAGGGGGTGTGGGTTAAGTAGCTTTAGAGTCGACTCAGATGTCCCATACACGGCGGAACACCAGCTCTGCTGCCTCTGCCTGCGCTGCGCTAGGCTGTGAATTGCGCGCGGTCCTCAGAAACACACAGTATCGCGCCCATGAGTCCACCACAATCTGTGCTCAGGACGTTTCAAAGACGTTTCATGAGAAGGGCGAAAGAGCGTGGGAAGGGAGGAGGGGTGCCTTTTGAGTCGACTCAAAAGTCAGCCCGTGAGTCCACAACAATCTGTGCTCCACATGAGAGAGGGTGGGAAAAGGAGGGTGGGAAAAGGAGGAGGATGCATGGGGAAGGGGCGGGGGAATAGGCGAGGGGAGAGAATTAGCAAGGTGCTTTTAAAGCATCTTTGAACCACTTTAGCTCGCCAGTTAATTGGCTTGGCGTCAGTCACCCTCTGGCCCCCGCATGCCCTCGGGAACACGTGCCGGATGCTTTTCAAGGCGTCTGTTGCCAGATTAACTCACCACTATGCTGGCGTCAGTCAGTCACCCCCTAGCTTGCCTCAAAAACTGCCAAAAACACCTCAATGGGAAGCACGTCCCTTGGGAGCTCCCCGCCCTCGCCGCTCACTCACTCCCTCCCCAACTGCACTAATCACTCACCACTTAAAACCGGAGTCCCAAACAGCCCAAACTGCCTCAAACTTCCTAACTTTGGTTGGGTGTGACCCAGTAGATACTGCCTCAAACTTCCTAACTTTGCAAATCGTCGGGACAATTTTCGCCACGCAAAATTACTGAACGATAGCAGTGACTATTTCGTAAACATATTTCGCGCCCATCCGAAACTATCTTCGAACGGATTTTCCGTTGCATTCCAGATCTGGTTACACTCGCAAGATTTTCATACTTTGCGACCCACAACCTCCGATTTCGATAACACACCCAGGTTCACGAGCCAGTCGCGTTTCTTGGCCCGACCAACCTTCCTAAGTTTGAGAGTCTTGGACCTCCGGTTTTAATTGGCGTCGGTCACCCCCTGGGTTCCTCGGGGACGGCCAAAAACACCTCGTTGGGCCCCGCGTCCCTTGGGAGCTCCCCGCCCTCTCAGCTCACTCACTCACTCACTCCCTGCCGCATCTGCGCTCTTGAATTACCACTTTATTCGCGTCAGTCACCCCCTGAGTGCCCTTGGGGGCAGCCAGCAACACCTCGTTGGGGCGCACGTCCCCGGGGAGCTGCCCACCCTCCCACTCACTCACTCACACACTCACTCACACACACACTCACTCACTCACTCACTACTGGTTCCTCCTCGAATGAGTTTCTGCTCACCACTTTATTTGCGTCGGTGACGCCCTGAGTGCCCTCGGGAACCGCTAGAAACACTTCATTAGGGCGCACGTCCCTTGGGAGCTCCCCGCCCTCCGCCTGCACGTCAGCCGCGCGGAAGAACCAGCGGATGTCCCCTTGCGCTCGCCTGGATTTCCGCCTCCGCCTCCGCCGATGCTGTGTGCGCTTTCCCGCGGCGGCTGGGGGGAGCTCGTACATGCGCGCACGATCTTCCCCACGTACGGGTCCATTCCCTCTTCTGCCTGACGCGGTACAGGGAATACAGGAAAGGCTTCAGA